GAAGGCCTTACGGCCAGTGAGGAGGAGAAGGAGAGAGAGGGGGGAGTCCGTAGCCATTTTGGCTCAAGCCAGTCTGCCTCGAGCGGCACGCGACCAGGGCTCTCTCTGTCCGGCCGCCGCTGCAAATCGACTCCCGCGCCAGGGATGGCGCTCGACGTGCCGGCGCGCCAAGGCGGGGGCGCCCACATCGACGAAGAGGCCGCCCAGCCGCTCGCCAGCCGCCAGGTCGTGCCCTTCGAGATCGAGCCCGCCCCCCCCCGCCGCCGGTGGAGGCCGCCGCCCCGCCGCTGCGCGCCGCGCCGCCCGCCGTGGCGCTGCTGGCGGCCCTGGCCGCGTTCTGGTGCTGGTCCGCGTCGGCGGGTCGGGGGTGCGCCGCGGCATGGTCCGACGAGCACTGCTGCACGGTGGAGGGACCCATCTGCGGGTCCGACGAGCACCAGGAAGAATTCCAGCGGCACGCGCTCTGGGCGGTGGCGGTGGTGGCCGTGCCGTATACCGCGCTGGCAGCCTGGTGCGTGTGGCTGCGCGGCAGCTTCCAGACCGGCCTGCCGTTGCACCGGTGGACGAGGGCCTACGGGGCGAGCGCGGGCGCGGCGGCGGCGTTGTTCGCCTCGCGCCCGTGGAGCAGCGAGTGCGAGGGCAAGGGTTTGGGCAGTGTCATGCTCGCGGCCCTGGGGGCGCTGAAGATCGTCTCGCTGGTCATCGTCGCGAGCTGGAGGAGCTGCAGCGCCCGCGGGTCGCGCTGGCCGTGCGGCGCCTCTCGGCCGTGATGCTGTTGTTCGCAGTGTGGCTATGCTTCGGAACTTTGGTGGTTCATGCCGCTGACGCGATTCGCATGTCAGTGTATCTCTGGAAACTCATGCTCTCGCTCCTGGATGAAGTCCTGGTGCTCGCGCCGCTGGCCTACCTGGGCGCGTGCATCTTCGGCGTCTGCGGCCTCCTGGCCGCCGCGGCGCGCGCCCGCTCCTCCAGGAGCGCGGCGCAGCGGCGCGCGGCCCGTGTCGTCGTGGCGACGGCCCTCGCCCTGGCGCTCTCCATGGCCACCATCGTTGTGCTGCTCTTCGGCGGTGGCGCTCTCCAGGGAGCCCTGACTCACTGAGCTCACTGGGGGGCGGCCCTCGACGCGCTGGGCGACTGCCTCGCAGTGGCGCTCTTCTCTGGGCTGACCGGGCCGCCCTCTCTGCAGGTTCTGGCACGCGAGGCGTTCTCTGCAATCAACTGCTACACCGACAGCCAGCTTCAATCCTTCTACGAGAAGTATTCGGAATACCTGGACACGGCGCATGTGATGTGGATGCGCTGCGGCTACATGCGGCGGGTGTCCTGAGCTGGTGACATCATGCAGCGTTGCCAGGAGGTGCTGTTCGACCAGGTGTTCATCGGCAGCAGAGGATTTCAACTTGTGCGCGATAGAGAGAATAAGAGGTTAGTCCTTTCGCACCCGTGGTTGTCAAAGGAGTACCCAGATCCCACTGGCGTCAAGTTGAGGTTGTTCGTGCAGCAGCTCGACTTGTTGCATGGCTCCGACGATCACGCCGTGTTCGTGGACTACATGAGTCTCCCGCAGAACGACAAGCTGAACCCGGAGCTGCAGCGCATCGAGGCCACGTCGGAAATACCCAAGCCTGGCACGCATCCGTCCGTGCGCACAGCTGCGGAGGAGGCCCAGTTCAAGGAGGCGCTCTCAGCCACGAAGCAGATCTATAGCATTAGCAAGACGCTGGTCATTGCTCTGCCCATGGATGGCGAGGTGGACGCGGGCAGGGAGTACATTTCCAGGGGCTGGAGCCCTCCTAGGGTTTAGGGTTTAGGATTTAGGGCTTAGGGTTTGTGAGGCGCGATCCACGAGCCTGTGAGGCGCCTGAGGGAGTTTGTGGAGTCCATGAATGGACACACGGTCGAGGGCTTCCGCGAAGCGTTTAAGTAGACGCACTTCACAAACAAGGACGATGGCAACGTCGTTCTCAAGCTGTTCGAGAACACGCTGAATCTGGCATCTCGCCACTGAAGGAGCGTGGCGCGCTGCTTCCGTTCGGCGTAGTCGTACTCCAAATGCGTGGTCATGTTTCACCCCCCCCCCACACCCATCAGTGGACGCACGCCTGGACTGAACCAGGCCAAGACGGGCTGGCCCAGCTGGATTGGGTTGGGCTGCGGTCGATTGGCTAACATTGCGTTGAGCAGTTCATCAGGCGAAGGGGCACGACCACACGAACGACGATCTCCGACTCCTGTGGCCACGCGCCAGCGCCAGAGAGCGCGAGGAGACAGCCCGACTTTGCTACTGCACCTCAGTGAAATGTCTATGCGCTACGCCGTTGCTCGCAGCGCGGTGCTCGCCGGGTGTTGTGTGCAGCCTCTTATTGAAAGGGCACCCCGCGCTTTCCAGGTTCCCTCGCTTGCTCGCTATCACCCTGCGGTGCTTCGCTCTCTGCTCTCCTTCTCCTCTTCTTCTCCTTCTGTGGCCGCGCGGCTCGGCAGCGCGCGCTGATGGGTCTGCGCGGCAGGCTAACGCTTACCGCGCTCTTCCATGCCGGGCCTCTTCCTGATCTTCTTTTCCTTGTGGGGCCGTGCAACTCGACAGCGCAGCTGTGCAGGCGCGGGCCAGCGTTCTGGACAGGCCGCGGTGCCCGGCGCATCCTCCAGACCCGGCGGCTCCCAGAGATCTGCCGATCTACCCTCGGCGGCATCGTTCCTCATCTTACCAGGGTGAAGCATATCCCTATCCCCATGTTTGACATCACCTCGCCTCGATGCCGATCTTAAGGATTCCCTCAGTTTCTGAGGGCCTATCCCTAAGATTGGCCTCGCTTTTTGCTCGCCCATCTTAGGGATAGGGATCAGTTCGAGGCTGGTAATCATCCTGGCTTCGTCTCGAGCTGCCCTCGGCCCCTCTGCCCGGTGTGCGCCCCGTGGTCGCGGGGGTCGTGGAGGTCGGCCCTGTGCGCAGCGGCGCTGCGCCGCGGCCCCGCTGCAACTGCCTCCTTCCGGGCGGCGGGAAAAGGACACACAGACACAAGAAATCGTCGACTCCAAGGTACATATGGGAAGCTGAGCTGCCTCGACACGCTCGTCTTGAGACGCGACACTTTTTGATCTGCGGGGCGAGCGCGAACCTCTTCCACTAAAAGCCAGGCGGGCTACGCACAGCTTTACTTAGGGAGACAGGGCACAGGAAGGCGGGGCCTCAGGCGGCCGGAGTGGGCGAAGCCCAGGGGTGCAGGCGGTGCCGAAGTGGATGTGCAGGAGCAGGTGCGCCGCGGACAGGTACCGGGGGCGAAGTCCTGGAGGGTGAGTCAGAAGGTGTTGCCGTCGACGGCGCATCGCGAACACCAGCCTCGCTCTCTTCAGACGCAACACGCACTGTGCTTAACCTATCCGTGTCAACACGTTGCGTGTTGGCTCGGTGTATTGGCCCACGTGTTGGCGAACGTAGCGCGTCAGACCTACGTGCTCAGTGTCCGTGGTGAGCTCCGTATCAACACGCTACGTGTTGCGTATCCGGGCAGCTACGATGGGAAATGGAGGGGAAGACGAGCATCCAGACACTATGCGAAATATTGGGAATCCTAGGAGGTGTGCCTGTTGATTTGTGTGCCCCTGGGCCTCTTCATCCCTCGCGGCCTGGCTCTGGAGGATGTCTCCGGCGCCGCCACCTTCTCAGCGCACTCCCAGGAAAATGTGGGAGGTGGAGGGGGAGACGAACATACAGGACCTATGGGAAAGATGGAGGATCCCAGGATCTGTGCCTGTTGATCTGCGTGCCCCTGGGACCCTTCCTCCCCCGCGGACTCGCTCTCAAGAGGCGCCCGCCGCCCTTGACAGCAGCGCGGAGGGGGCCCCCGCCCCGCCGCTGCAAAAAAGCGCAGGCGCGCCTGGCCACGCACGACAACTCGGTGCCGGCCGCGGAGTACTTTGGGCACTTCTGCATGCTGATGTGCCGCTCGGGGCGGGGGCAGGGGCTCACCACCCACCAAATCACCCCAACCCGACCCGAGGGCCCCGATTTGCCCTCCGTTTCCAGTAGGGGGGCGGTCGGGGAACGTTGAAAAAAGCACATGGAACCCGTACCCCCCCAACCCGAAATTCGGGCCAAATTCGGGTCCTCAGGTTTGGTGGGGGTGGTCTGGTAGGTAGTCAGGGGCAGGATCGTTCTGTGCGCAGGGTGTGGCGGAATCGGCGGAGGGTCGCCATGCGAATTGCGACTCTGGCACCGTGAGTGTGATGCTCCCAGAGGGGCACGATCCGTGTGAGGGGCGTCCCGCAATTGGCCGGATCACTTTGGACACTTCTGCATGCTCATGTGCCGCGGGGGTGGGGGCAAAGGCACGATCGGACGGGGCTAGGACGAGGATAAGTCAATTCCGGAGCGTTCCGGAACGCTCTCAGAGCGTTCCGGGACGCCCTGGGAAGGCCGCGGCTTACGACTCATTTTTCAGAGCCACCGGGTCTCAGAGATTCTCGATTTATCCTCACCCGATTTTATCTTCGTCTTGGCCTCGTCTCGGCGGGAGTCAGAGGAGGAAAAGGTATCTAATGGCCTTCGGCCCATCCCGCACCGTGCCTTGGTTGTGGGTATGAAATCTGTTGGATGTTCGTTGGGATCTCGGGGGGGGCCTCTCGGAGACCTCTTGGAGGCAGTTTGGAGGGGGCCGTTTTAGGACCTCTTGAGGCCTCTTTTTGGCCTCTAGGGGGCTTCTAGGGGCCTCTTGGGGGCCTCTTGGGGCCTCCTGGGCGCCTCTTGGGGCCTGCTGGAGGCCTCTTGGGGCGAAAGGCTCGGATGTTCGGTTCGTGTTCCCTCACGTGGTTCCCTTTTGGAGGCCTGTTTGGCCGTTTTGGCGTAGTCTTTCGGGTTTCTTGGGCCGTCTTGGAGCGTCGGAAAGTCGAGAAGGCGAGAACGCCGACGTCCTTGAGAAACCGATGGAAGATCAATACTTTGTGCCTCTTGGGGTCCTGACGGGAGGCCTCTTGGAGGCTTCTTTGGGCGTCTTGGAGGCCTCTTGGGCAATCTAGAAAGGCCATGTGTCGCATCTTGGGCCGATCTGTGGTCGTCTCGGGGCCCGTTCGGGCCGTCTTGGAGGCTGCTCGGTGCCCTCTTGGCCCGTCTTGGGGCCCCTCTGGGCCCCGGAAGAGTAGTGCGGAACTGCGTCCCCGAGCCCATGGGGGCACGCGAGAAGCCCTTTCGGCTCCAGGCCCCTATGAAGACTCCGCAGGGACTGAGGCCCGAGGCCCCAGGGATGAGGCAACAAGGACCCGAGGACGCGCCCACTCCGAGCCCAAGAGGAACGGTGGCTGCGCTTCCCTCGTCGCCACGGCCGGCTTCGCCTCGGAGTCCTCGTCAGGAGGCGCCCGAGGAGAGGGCGCCTTGGAGCAGCGGGATCGGTACACATTGCTCATTTCTAACACTTCGAAAGTTCTTTGATTTTCTTGGGGGGCCGAGATCCTTTCAGGGCCTCTTCTTGGCCACGAGGGGGCCAGGAGCAGTTAGGAACGAGCACAGCTGGAAACGAGCACGATTCGAGAGGAACGATGAGGAGGAGGAGGAGGAGGAGGAGGAGGAGGAGGAGGAGGAAGGAGGAGGAGGAGGAGGAGGAGGAGGAGGAGGAAGGAGGAGAGGGGAGGAGGAGGAGGAGGAGGAGGAGGAGGAGGAGGCACGCTTCGCCGGGCGGGCGCCGGGCTCCCGAGGCCGGTGGGCTCCTCGCTGCCCGCCGCCGCTGCCCCCCCGAGCGTCGCCCCCCAGCCTTGGCCTCATCGTTGCCCCCCCCACCCAGGGCTCGTGCCTCCTCCCCTCCCTCCTCCTCCCTCCTCCTCCTCCTCCTCCTCCTCCTCTCCTCCTCCTCCTCCTCCTCCTCCTCCTCTTCCCATGCAGCATTTCACATTGTTTCACACGCGTGTGCCTTAGCAGGCGCCTCGGTGCCCCCTCCGCCGCGCTTTCATGGCGCCACGAGTGCGGAGCCGTAGCCGTAGCCGTAGCCAGGGCTCGTGTCGATTCCTCCGGTTCGATTCGATTCGATGTCGATGGCTTCCGATTCCGATTCGGGTCGACTTCGGATTTCGATTTGGCTTCCGATTGCTTACTGGAGGCATATTGGTCTGCCGATTTCCTTGTTGGAAGCATACTAGCCTGCCGATTTCCGCCGATTCGGCTTCTCCCGACTCGGCTGCCGATTTCCGCCGATCCGATTCATTTCGATCGCCGATCCGATTTATCGATTCGATTCTGGGATCTCCTGCCCACCGTTAGCCCAGGTCAGTGCTCCCCATCGTTGCCACCCTATCGTGAACCCCAATCGTGACCACTTCATGATGCTCCCTATAGTGCTCTCTGTGTAACTCTTGAATTGTGTTGAGGATATTCTGCCTCCTGGGTGCAGTTTGTTCTGTAGTTATGCCCGTGTCTCCGCATATTATGTTCAGTGTGGTCCGGATCAGGGAAAATTCGACACTGCCATTTTGCATGCAAAGCCTGCTCGTTGTATGACAACTATGTTCACTGCCTGCGACGGCGAAGGATATGTTCACATGAATGCCAGCGTGACCCTGCAACAAAATGAACTAGACCCGTCTTGAGCCCAAGCTCTAAATTGTCAGAGTTTTCGCGGTTGTAAGTATGGGTATCGTCTGGTTTTCATTTGACCAAGCTTGAGCCAACTTGATAGCACTTCGGATGTCCATGTGGGTACCTCGAGGGGCATAGGGTGAGGCAGGGGGTACATGAAGGTAGTGCTGGCAAAAGGCATGCGGCGATATTTGTTCACACCAATGTATTCAATGCAGCAGGCAAATGCACAGCAGCCGCAACGCGAACTACGCAGTTACAGCGCATGTATGGCGAAGCTCGCTTGTGTCCTATACTACGCTAGCTGTGGACCAATCGGAGTCGCACATATACAAAGGGCCGTTTGAATGAACGTTTGAAGTTTTCAAAGTTCCCCGAACAATTCTTGCACTTAGGGGTTCTTATTTCTTTCCCAATCAACTGGGCCTGTCTGCGGATCTGGCGGCTATGTTGTCGCAATCTCCGCCCCGTCGCCGACTCGGCGCCTCCGCTCGTCGTCTGGGCCTCTGCCGGTCTGGCCCGCCTTGCATACATTGCACCGCATAGATTGCTCCACAGAGATTGCACCACACATATTCTCCTTTGCAAAGACTATTAGTCTTTCCCCCCGTGGAGTGTCACGGTCCTTTTTTTCCGTATGACAAGTTGCATTAACTCGTTCAATGAGTGCGCGCTCGCTTATCAAAAATCATTAGTTTTCAGGAGCCCCTTGCAACAAGTGGGACGACGTGCGCACGCGCGCGCCTTCGCGTGCACATGCCAGAATCCTTCAACAACCTGAGGTGTCGTAGGGATTTCAAAATCGAGTGCCCCGAAAACCTTTTCCTAATCCAAAAACAAGTGGCCTTGCACAAATAAAAAGCAGCACGACACAAACCACCCCATATTGAGAAAACCATCGGCTTCTTAATTTTTCATAACTCGCTACCAAGTGGGCCTCTCGCGCGCGCTTGTTGGAATCGCTCGAACGCCCTTGCGCGCGTGCTGTCGCAAGAGTCCTTTGCATAAAATGGGACGCAGTGCGCACGCGCGCGTCGTCGCTCGCGCATGCCGAAACCTTTTAACAACCTTACGTTTCGTATTGAATTCAAAGTGGGGTGCCCCGACACCATATAAACATAAACAAATTTGGTTTTGCAACCGATTAAAAATTCCTGCGCTCGCGGCTCTCCCACGAATTCTTAAGTTAGGCTTTTGCCCAGCATTCCTATTCATTTAGGCCAAACTGGCCCTCGCGCCGCACGCCGAAATCATTCGAACACCTTTGCGCGCATGTTGGGGGAGGCACGATCCTTGTCAAATAATGATCCCTGCTCGCGCGTCGGCCGCGAGGGCATGTCGAACTCCAAAACGTTAACCACACACGCGAGGACGCCGTCATCGTCGCCGGCGTGATCAGCATCGGCGCCGTCATTGGCCTTGCCGTCGTCGTTGTCAGCATCGTCACCTGCATCACTTCTATCATCATCGCGTCTACCGTTGCCGGCGTTGCTAGGATGCCGCTCTCGCCCAAGTCGCCGACTCGCACTGCAGTGTCCGCTGTGAAAATGCCCAACGGACAGCGCCACCGCGGCCGCTTCGGCCGCGCCAAACTAGCTGGCCGTTGCGGGCGCGGGCATGCGCGGGCTAGCGCGGCCGCAGAGATGCACCAACCAACCCCGAACACTTATCTCAATGGCCGCCGCATGGGCTTTGTAAACGAAGCTGCGGGTGTGGGGGTGGGAGTGGAGTGGGCAATTTGTTGCGAGCAGACATGTTTGCACCACACGGATGGCACCACATAGGTTGCTCCACAGAGGTTGCACAAGCAGTTCGCACCACATATGTTGCACAACATATATTAGTTTGCATACCAGCTATCGTACCACATAAATTGCTCCACGCCGGTTGCATTGCGTAAGATGCAGCACCTAGGTTGCGCCGCCGAGGCGCCTCCACATAGACGGCACCTCGTAGATTGCACCGCATGGGTTGCACCACATCGGCTTCACAACGTAGATCGCACAAGAAAGATTGCACAACCCAGATCACGACACGCAGTTTGCACCACAGCGGTTGCATTGCGCAGGTTGCACCGCATAGACTGGACTGCATCGATTGCACATCGATTGCGCCACATTTGTCGCACAACGGACATCGCACCACCTGGATCGAACGACGCGGATTGCATAACAGAGGTTGTACAGCACGGGTTGCACCACATCATTGCACCAGATTCTTGGCACTGCATATGTATTGCACCACGTAATCAGCACGTTATTCCACAACGACTGCGCAGCATTTGTTGCAAGAGACACACTGCTTGGGGCCCGCGATGGCTAACATTCTTGGCGGAACGAACTGACTATGGCCTACCCAGTTCAGATAGGTGTTTGAGGTTAAGAGTGCGGGGCGAAACTAAGTCCACGTGTACAAATATAGATTTGCTGGTATGTGCCCATGCCTCGCTGCGGAGCGCGTCCATACTGGGGGCGTCTCTTGCGCAAGGACGCGACTGTCTCACAAGGTTTGGATAAGGGTGGCGGCTAAGAATGGCAATCCTTTGGGCTGATTGTGTGCGTGCGTGCGCAGACGCGCGCGCGTGTTTGAATGAGTTAAAATTCTCGTTCGTTGCGAGGAAGATCTTGGCCATACGTCGCCTCGGCCCCGCTCACAGCGCCAGAGTCAGCACACACAGCAGGCGGGAGCTGCACAATATAGCCACAGCTAGACGCCAAGACATTTGAGCAAGTTGAGGGAAGACATGCTAGCCAACGACATGGAGCAGAGACTAACCTTCCAGTGCAGTGGGTGGCCCATGGGAAGCATAATTCAAACCGTACACATGCTGGAATGCCTCGGATACTGATGTTGTTCCCGAGCTGCGCCAGTTACGTTCTCACCTGCAGCCCAGTCTGCGTGGCGCGTCTTGAAGTGAATTGGAACGTCATTCGTCCCAAGGCACTTGGAGCACATGGAGGAGCTCAGGCAAATTCGTCGCTGCCTTAGCCGCTCTTCGTCCCAGCATGACGAGCGCGCGCTGGCAGTATCAAAGCAAAGGATAGGGATGAGGATGGGGAGGAGCGGGATGACGCAGTGAGTGGGGCGAAGGATGGGAGGCCGAGAATGGAGAAGTCGGGGAGGAAGCGGAGGAGAAGGAGGATCACGCGGAGGAGAAAGAGCAAGAAGAGAGCATGGGCAGGCCGAGCAGGAGGAGGGGGTCGAGGAGGAGGATTAGGTGGAGAGGGAGGGGGGCGCAGGAGAAAGAGCAGATCGAGGAGCAGTGCCGGCGCGCGCGCGGCAGCAAGCACCCGCGGCCCCAGCTGGCATCCGCGCAGCCTTGCAACCGCGCCTCGCTCCCGAGCTCCTGGGCTGCTCCCCAGGATGCGCCCCCAGTCCTCAGGGCGCTGCCCCCCCAGGCATGATCGCGTCATGTAACAGGACGGAAGGTTTTTGGCCGTTGTCGGCCTCGGGGGGCTTTCGCCGGGCCTCGGGATCGTCAAAACAAATGACTCAGGATGAAACATCGGTCCTGGGGAAAGGGTCTGGACTTCCGGGGACGCCGTCCTGAAAAAATCAGGACGTCGCATGTCTGGGCCTGCTCAAGCCGTGGCATCCTGCGGCGACGGCTGCGCGCGGAGTATCCGTCCAGGGCGCCCCGCGCGCGCTTGCGCTTGCGCGCGCGCTCCGCTGTACAAGGGCGCCCCGGGTGGCGTGAACGGCCGGCGTCAAGGGTTCCACGAGGAGGGAGGGGAAAGGGTTAGGAGAGAGGATCGAGAGTCGAGAGGATGTTCGAGGATCCAGGTTTGGGGACGTTTTGGGGCCCCCTGCTTCAAGCAGTGGCGAAGCGTCCTGTCGTGCCTATGGGCCTGCCAAACAACGTTCTAAGAACCTTTTGCGGTTTCCACGAAATGTTCTCAGAACATTTCTGGTTGGGACTGTCGTGGTTTTATCACATCAGGCTTATGCTCTAAGAACATTGTTTTGTTTTTTGGAACATTTTTGGGTACCAAGAACATGTCAAGGTGGGCCTATCGGATTGCCAGAACGGCCGGTCACGGCTCAACTGCTGGAGCGTTCGCGCCCCCACGGCTGGAGCATCGGCCACCCCCGGGAGGGGCAGGCTGCCCCCGCCGCCGCTGCTGCCCCGTCGCCCCTGGCCTGGCCGCGTCCTCGGCGTCCGTCGCTGCAGCCTCGGCGCCTTGGCCCACGGCGGGGCAGCCTGGCTCGCTTGCGGCCACCGCCGTGGTGCACGAGCCACGGGCGCACGTGGAGAGTTGCTCCGAAGGGCTCAGGCCACCCCTCTTCCTCCTCCTCCTCCTCCTCCTCCTCCTCCGCCTCCTCCGCCTCCTCTCTCCTCCTCCTCCTCCTCATCCTGCTCCTCCATCTCCTCCTCCTCCTCCTTCTCCTCCATCTTCTCCTCCTCCTCCTCCCTCCTCCTCCTCCTCCTTCTCCTCCTCCTCCTCCTCCTGCTCCTCCATCTCCTCCTCCTGCTCCTCCATCTCCTCCTCCTCCTGCTCCTCCTCATCCTCCTCCTCCTCGTCCTCCTCCTCCTCTTCCACCTCCTCCTCCTCCTCGTCCTCCTCGGGTCGCGCCTCCCGGGGGGAACCGTGCAGGCGCACGCGGTGACACTTGCCTCTGCCCAACCGCCGCGCGCCGCCCGAGGAGGCCTGCGGTCCAGCAGCTCCTCTCGGCTTGGGTCGTCGCTGCTGCCGCGCATCACCCGCTCAACACAGCGCCAAGGAGGCTCCGCCCTTCAGCCTGGAGCCACCCCGCGTTGACGACGTCGGGCTCGTCCTTTTCGCATTCATGGTGGCTGGCGGCGGTGGGCTCTGTCTTCACCCGGCCTCATCTTCTCGCACCGGAGTTGTTGCTGCCCGCTCCTCTCGCGCTCTTGGGTCTGCGGTGCCTGCCCTGCTGCGTCCACCTGCCACTGCCCGCCCTGCTCACACGCCGGGGGGCCGAATATGGGCGAAGACTTCCTGAAGCAGTGCTTGCGCTCCGGCTTTTGCACTGCGATTGGTAAGAAATTTGATGGGTGTGGCGCGGGTTCGCCTGGAGGGCGGCCGTGGGCGCCTCGGCGCCTGGTGCGCTGCATTGATGTCCCGAGTTTCCTCGTGGTTGGCGGCCGCGGGCGCCGCGTAGGAGGCCTGTGCGTTGGCCAGGTTTGTCAGGGTTTCGCCTGGTAGGCGGCCGTGGGCGCTTCCCGGGCGTGCCGTGCGCCAGCCGAGTGTCTTGGCTTGGCTTCGTGTGCGATAGTGAGAGCCTCGCGGGCGCCTCACGCTGCTTGGGCTACAGCGCTTGCATGCCATAGCTTGCACGAGTGTGTGTGTGTGTTCCGCATCGAAGCTTACACCGCGTAGTGTGCCACGTAGCTTGCACCATACATCGCCTGCACCATACCTATACTGCACCACACTGCGTGCAGCGCCCAGAGCTTGCACCAGATAGCCGCAGAGGGTCTTCGATGCCGACCGACCCCTCCTCAAGCTCACGTCTGGCGAGGAGGAGGAGGAGGAGGAGGAGGAACTCGGCCTTCCCTCCTCGCCAGTGTGGCACGAGACTGTGAGTGCCACCGGGGGGCGAGTGGATACCGCTAGTTCTCGGCCAGAGAGGGCCAGCGGACTCGGCGTCGCCGCGCAGCTCGGGCCGTGGCGAGTGGCAGCTGCGCTCGCAATGGGGATGGCGGCCGCCGCGCTGCTCGCCGTCGTGATGATGCTGCCATCGCCGCGATCGAGCACCAGATCACCGCCGTCGGGCAGGAGATGCAGGCCGAGGACCCAGATCGCCCGCGACCTCGAGGCCATGCCGAAGTTCGCTTCTCAGGAGACCCGTGGCGTGGATCCTGCGGTTGCTCGACAGCCTCCGTCTTGCAGCGAGGCCGCCCAGCAGTCAGCTGCCGCCGTCCCTCTTGGCCTGTGGGCCAGGGCCGCTGCTCTCAGCGCAGCCTCCCGTATTGCGGGGCCGAAGCCAGAGACGCCAAGCAGACGGGCGGCTTTTGGCACGCCCAGCTACTATGTCGTTGGGGCCTCTGGTGGACCACCTTGGGGGGCCACGAAACGTGTGATGGGTGTGCCGAATCGGGTGCGGGCACGCATGATGGTGATGAGATGAGGGCATATACACGGCAGAAGCAAATATATAGGAGGAGGGAGGAAGGGTAGGAGGAAGGAGGGAACGCGGGGCGCTGTTCTTCAAAACGAGGACCTTGGGACAATGTATTTTCGAATCATTGAGGGATATTCAAGACCTTCTGGGTTAGCCCACACTGGCGAAAATCTGTTCACAGCGAGAGGAGGTCCCGGTTGTTGCCCGTCTGAGTGTCGAAGCACATCCCCCGATCCCATCCTGGGGCGCGCTCCGGCAAGTATTCCGGGGGGGACCCAGCCGGCGCGAAGAACATGGTTTTAGGTGGCCCAAGAAGCAATCAAAAACTCAGAGCGTGAATTACCTACCCCGCTTTCGCTCCCAGGCAAAACCAAGTCATACCACGCGCCTCCTCGTCAAGCGGCCTGACCAGTACAGGCCGTAGTTTGGCATCGCTTGGTATCTCTTGGAAGCGAGGGTGGTCAAAAGCGAGGTAGGTTTGTTTGCCCCCTAAAAACATAGACAACAACTCCGTAGCCATTTTGGCTCAAGTGCTGGTGCTTCGCGCTGCGTGCTGTTCATCACGCGGGGGATCCAAGCGTCACAAGTGACAGCCCACTTCTGCATCCAACACGGTGGCATGGCTGCGATGTCGTCGGCGATGGTCCTCTCATCCGTCACCATCTTATGCGCTTTCACGCTAGCCGACGCCACCGTCAACGGCGATGCGGACGTGGCGCCTTCGGTGAACGTGTATCTCACGATGGATTACCCAGATATCAGAGTGCTCCGGTAGTTCTGCATACAACTTTTCTTTCAAGAAGGCTCCAGGCTTGCTGGATTGCTATGTCTACACAGATGTCACTGGCGAGAACGTTTTGTTTGGTAGCTTAAACATAACTTGCCTCGGCGACCGAGCAGTTTTCAATGAGTTTGACCATGAGGATTGCACAGGCTCTGTCCTTGCATGGGGGACAACGCCATGGGCTTGGTACACATCGAATACGTGCTCAAGTTACGAGTATTACCTCCAAGAATCGGGTACAACCATAGTAAATCAAAGCCTCGTGGGACAATTGGCGTCTAGCGATTATCCTTCCACGTGCCACGACGTCTCAGGTGTTCGGGCTTATTGTCCCGCTTTCATGACCTTGTTGTTGAGCGTTACTGGGGTGTTGTAGAAGAGAGTTGGTGCTGCGGCGCAGACCCCGTGTGCACCGTAGAGATGCAACAGTTTTGAATATATATATATATATATAGAGAGAGGAGGTGGTGGAAGAAGTGGAGGAGGAGGAGGAGCATGGGGATAGGGATGTTTAAACGATGCTCAGTGTGCCTCATCTTGCTCCTCCTCGAGCCGACGGTGGGGCAGCGCGTTGTCGGCATGCGCCCCGCAGGCTCAAGGTTTAATCTTACTCGTCAATATGTATCCTCTCTCCTCTCTTCTTCCTCCTTGCTGCTCCATTCCGCCTCCCGTCTTCCCTTTCCTGCGTCCCTCCGTTCCCCTTATGATGGTTCGCGAGACTCCTGATATGCCTTACGTCTGGAATCGTTTTTTCCGCAGTCCGACCTAAGTGTCAGACCGTCGGTTCTTTCTGCGTGCCCCGTGCTTCTCTGGACACTGCTGCGACTGAGGGCGGACAGCGCGACACGTGTATCGTGGAGCGAGATGCCTTACTGGCTCAGTCGGGTATTGTCTGTCCAGAGCGGGTTATGCAGCTGCAATCCCCAACCTGGGCAACGACAGCCCTCATCCGGGATGCAGTTGCAGCAGCCGCACCAGACCTGATAGACCTACACGGCCACCCTTCGGGTGATCAGATCGACGAACAGCGCGCGAGCCTAGAATTCAGAAAATGCAGAAAGAAAAAAGCAACAGAAAATTCAGATCCCCGAATTCCGTGGCCCTGGTTTATTCTTGCCCCTTGACCCTCCACACGCCAACGTGTCGCCGCTGAGACCTCCCATCCATCCATCTGACTCGAGGACCACATTGGGCTCTGGAGAGGCTCTTGTTTCCGGGCCGTTGCTCAGATCTGTGGCGGTGTGGCCTTGTGTTCGTGGCCGCGGTTCGCCGCCAGAGACAGAGCTCCGTGTTCGGCGTCCCTCATGTCAGTATCCTCCTCCTCCTCGTTTTCCTCCTCCTCCTCCGCCTCCTCCCCCCATCCTGGGGGCAAGTCGTGTAGTGTTGCGTGTACGTTTGTTCGTCCGGCCCCGTTCCGAGGCTGCGCCCCCCGTTTCCTCCCCCGCCTCTGCCTGATTCAAGCTTCGCGCGGCCCGCTCAGCTTCGACCGGACGAGGTGCGCTCTCGACCCGCGGATCCAAAATTGTGTGTGTGCGTTTGTTCGTTCCTGGTTCGTTTCGTTCCCTCCTCCCTCGGCCGCTCCGCACGCGCGCCGCCCTCCGAGGCCGACGCACCCAGCGCCTGCCCGACGGGGAGCTGCAGCGCCTCGGGTGCCGCGCTGGGGTTGGGGCGCCGGCACCGTACAGGAGGAGGGCGAGGGTAAGAGGTAGCCTCATCCATCGCTTCCCCTCCTTCCTCTTCCCTCCTCCCTCCCTCCCTCACCCTCCCTCCTCCGCCTCCCGCCCCCCGCCTCCCTCCCTCCTCCCCCTCCTTCCTCCTCCTCAAGACCTTTCGCTTATAAGCGACTCCTCCCTGTCGCTAACCCAGACGTGTCAGTAGGGCGGGTCAGGTCTTGCTCGCCACTTGGAATTCGGAGTGTTGGAATCTGCATCAATCTCACGGATGGAAGGCGGGTCCTTCTCACAGTCTGGTTCTCGCCTCGCGCCGTGCACATCAGTTTCAAAAGTTCACACCAGTTTCAATGATGGAAGGCAGGTTCTTTCCAACATGTGGCGTTCATCTCAGCGCCGCGCGCATTCGTCGAACAAGTTTGCAACAGCTTCATGGATGGAGGGCGGGCCGTTTTCCAAATGCCGTTACAGCCTCGACGCCGCACGCGCATTCGATTTACGAGTTCTGACCAGATTTACGGCGGGAGGGCGGGTTGTTTTCGAAATGTTGTTCCCGCGCTAGCGCCACGCACATTCGTGTTACAGCTTTGTTGCACTTTGAAGGAGTCGTATGGTTGAAATCCCAGGAGAGGCGTCATGGCACGATTCAGGATTCCCAGGACGCAGAAGTCACGTTCATTCGCGGCGTTGGAGTCCCAGGAATGTCGCTCTGGCACGATGTAGGGTGCCAGGACGCAGCAGTCGCGTTGAATCGCAGCGCTGAAGCCCCAAATCTGGCGTTTTGGCCCGACTAAGGATTCCAAGTCGTAAGGATTCTGAGTCGTACTTACTCCAATACTGCGCTTCCCGAAGTGAGCATCCATTCCCGTAGGGCCTCTGTAAAGAGAGTTGCGTGGGAGGGCTTATTTGAAGTTGTTTTCCTCCGCCTTCTCCTCAGTCTCCTCCTTCTCCTCCACCTCCTCCACCTCCTCCTCCTCTTCTTCCTCCTCCTTCTCCTTTTCCTCCTGCTGCTCCTCCTCCTCCTCCGCCTCCTCCTTCTCCTCCTCCTCCTCCTCCTCCTCCTCCTGCTCCTCCTCCTCCTCCTCCTCCTCTTCCTCCTCCTCCTCCTCCTCTCTTCCTCTCCTCCTCCTCCTCCTCCTCCTCCTCCTCCTCCTCCTCCTCCCCCCCCCTCCCCCTCCCCCACCTCCTCCTCCTCCCCTCCTCCTCCTCCTCCTCCTCCTCCTTCTCCTCCTCCTCCTCTCCTCCTCCTCCTCCCTCCTCCTCCTCCTCCTCCTCCTCCTCCTCCTCCTCCTCCTCCTCCTCCTCCTCCTCCTCTCTCCTCCGCCTAGTGTTGCGGGCTCCGTTGAGCCGCCAGGTGAGCAGGGTGTGCCAGGGAAGGGGGAAGAGGCGAGGGCCCCTGCGGGGCCCCCGCAGGGCGAGCAGCTTCCTGAGGAGCCCCACTCCCTTGTAGCGTGGCCCCACTGGTCACACTCTTCAGCAGGGAGATGTTTATGAGGCGTATCGCTGCACATTTCATGACAGCATGTTGTGCTGCACCGCCTGCGGGGCCATGGCGCACACCAGCACGAAACGGGGGAATCTTTGGGCGCCGTGTCGGCAGTCGTCGTCGTCGTCGTCAAGTGGGCGGGCCTTCTAGTCGACGAAGTCCCGTGCTGGGCTACACCCCGCCCGTCGGAACCCCAGAGGGCTCACGACAGCTTACCTGGGGGCCCCCACCTTGGAAACGAGGGGAGAGTGGGCCCCCTTCTTCTCGGCCGGGGCCCAAGGCTTCCAAGGGCCCCCGAGGCAGGTGCGGAGGTCACGGACGGCCGTCCGAGAGGGCCCAGCTGCCGACCTCGTGCGAGGACTCGCGCCGATGGGCCCCGTGCGGAGCGAGGTGGAGGCCCTCGGCGCGCAGGCCGAGGCCATGCGCGCCCAAGGAGCCGAGGAGGATCAGGGCCTCTTCGGGCCCTTGGGCGCCTGGCAATTCGTTTGCTGGTGGTTCGCCGAATTCGGTCGTGCCTCACACGGTCGTGCGCGTCCTCTTCCTCCTCCTCCTCCTCCTTCTCCTTCCTCCTCCTCCTCCTCCTCCTCCTCCTCCTCCTCCTCCTCCTCCCCCTCCTCCTCCCCCTCCCCCTCCCCCCCTCCCCCTCGACCTCCTCCTCCCGCGCCCTCCTGATTTGGAGGGTGGCGGAGGCAGGTGCGGATGGTCGGTGACGAGGGGGTCGGTGGCGGTGGCGGGGGAGGGGGGGGAGGATGGGGGAGGAGACGGCTCGGCAGAGGCTCCCTCGCGCATGCTGCAGATGCCATCTCGTGATATAGTCGTCGATGGCCCTCACCAGGGCAACATTCGAAACACCGTTTGAGCAGGTATTGTCTTGAACCGTGTTGAGACCGCCTAACTGGTTGTGAATGAACGAATGGAGACGGTTCGAGCTTTGTGGTTCGAGGTTTCTGGAGGTTTGTTTCCCCTTTTCCACGGTTCAGGGGGGCTCCTCGTTGCCACGGTTGTGCTCCGCGTCAGGCGCCTGGGGGCGGGGGGGGAGGGGGGGCTGGGCGGGGGGAAGGATGGGGAAGGGGAGCAGAGAAGGGAGGAAAGAGAGGAGGATGGGGAGGGGGAACAGGAGGAGTTGGGAAGGGGGGGGAAGGCGAACGTGACGAGGAAGAGGGCGAGGGGGATGAGGAGGAGTGACAGTGGGAAGGGGAGGTGGAGAAGGAGAGGGAGGGGCATGGGGCAGGCGAGGAGGAGGATACCGAGCGGACGCGTAGGGGAGGGGAAGCAGGGAAGGGGAGGGCCCAAAGACACATACCATACGTGCATGCTGTTTTGCCGAGTGGCACTCCAGCAGGCCGGGTTTAAGCGTTCCACTCGGTCGGCATTGTTAACGCATTGTGGTCAGCATAGCCTTGTCGTGGAGATCCCAGGTCTCGAATCCCAAAAAGGTGCAACCTACATTAGATGTGTCATACCTTCCAGCGTAAGAAGGGGGAGGGAAGGAGCTGGAGAAGGAGGAGGAGGAGGCGGAAAAAGGAGGAGGAGGAGGGGGAGGGGGAGGAGGAGGAGGAGGAGGGGGAGGAGAAGGGAGGAGGAGGAGGAGGAGGAGGAGGAGGAGGAGGAGGAGGAGGAGGAGGAGGAGGAGTCTCTCACCCCTTGCTTTTGTTCGTCTCTCTCTCTCTCTCTATCTCTCTTGCTCCCGTGGCGGCAGCAAGCGGGCCGGCGGAGCGCACCCTTCGCAGCATTCTCCGCGACGGCCGCGCATCTCGCGAGGTGTGCGCAGAGGGGGGCGGGAACAATCAAGCAGTGGCGAAGCGTCCTGGCTCGCCTATGGCCCCACCAAACAATGCTCTAAGAACTTCTTGTGGTTCCCACGAAATGTTCTTAGAACATTTCTGGAGGAGCCTGTCTTGTTTTATCACATCGGGCTTATGTTATAAGAACATTGTTTTTGTTATTAGAACATCTTTGGGTTCTAGGAACATTACGTGGTAGGACTATAGGAATGCCGGGACGGTCGGTCCCTGCTCAAAAGGAGGAGGAGGAGAGAGCAGACATCTCGCTGGAGACGCTTGCCTCCAGAGGGGCCGCCATGGGATTCGGTCGGCGGCGGCTGGGACCAGGCTGGGCCAGATCGCTCAGGAGATGGGTCGGATCGGAGGCCTGGTTCGATTGCGGCTGCTGCAGGATCAAAGTGACTCGCCCTCTCGGCAACTGCTGCTGGAAAGCCTCCCCTCGGATACCTCCCTCTGCTGGAACTGGGCAAGGATGAGCAGCACGCTGAGTACGAGCAGGACGAGGAAAGAGGAAGGGGAAGCGGGGGATGATGATGGGAGGAGGAAGAGAATGGGAGAGAGGAGTGAGGATCATCCGTACGGTAACATTTTTGGCTCGAGGTCTGAAGCTTCTCTTCGAAAGCAAAAGGGGAACCGCTAGTCCACGGCCAGGGCTAATACATTCGCCTGGTCCAACCTTGGCAGAGCTTCACCTGGTCCGCACCAGGTAGATGCCGTTGCCACTCTGGTCATGACCAGTGGTGTTACTCGTGCGGTGCAACTCTCAAGAAACAGCAATTTCGCAGACCATGTGGATGATCAGCAGGTGGAACCGCTGCGTGGTGTCTTCGACGGTGTTAAGTCCAAACGTGATAGACCGAACAGATGGTCTGGAAGGCCGAACAGATGGTGGAACAGAAAGAAAACAGCACAAGCCGTGCATTCAGAATCTAACAGCTTTGGAAGGATCTGCTGGTGAATTTCAAGCACAGCAGCGTGTAGAGCTCAAACTCCACATCCGCTTGGGGAAAGCATCGAAGACACCGGGCGCCAGGCGAATGCGGAGGCCATCGTTGTTGCTGGTCCGTCATTAGATGAGCTCGAAAATTGTCTTACAGAACGGGGCAAGCAGCTCTGCTCCATGGCAGCAATTTGGCAAGGTCGATCAGGAGACTCAGCAGATGTGGCAGTGTCTTCTTGGAAAAAGGTTGGTCGCCAGGGGCACGGCGGCATGGGCTCCCATAGGCCTTTCGGCTCCGAGGACTCCTGTGGCTCGGCCCATCTCAGCGGCGGCCAACACACCAGCGTCGATGGAGTTGGACGATTCGGACATTGATGACTGGTTCGACGTCGAGGCGGGCGGCAAAGGACTAGAGCAAGGTGTCACACGAAATATCGCCCGCAAGACCATGGATAACCTGAAACGCAGGAGGACGGGTAAGAAAGTTTGTGGCCAGTCGGGGGATTCAGGTAGCAACTCGTCAGCAGCAGCATCAGTACCGCGTGCAGGCGCTACCAGGCGTGAGAACGACCAACCAGGGGGGTAGCCGAAGACGGCCTGTTGGATATATGCCGCCTCCGAGTTCGGACGGGTTCCAACCCGACGCTTCGATGCGAGAACCGCGCAGAGGCCAGCACGCCCTCGCCCCCAGGCCCCGATCGGCCACCAAGAGATGGGCGAGCGGTTCTTCCACGTCCAGTGCCGTGTCGCAGGGCATTTCCAACGACGCATTTCCATGTCTGTTCTCGGTGTTGATGCAAGAAACAAGGCTTCATGGCCAAAGTCAAACGCTGGCGATGGATTTCTGTGCGGGCCAGAGGTTGGCGCCCCTTTGCTTCCCGGGCCCTCTGCGGTGAAGGAGGAAGACCGCCGGGGGGGAGCGGCGATCCTTGTCAGAGGGAAGCTTCCAGCATGGAGCGGAGAGAAACACGAAGTGGTAACGGGAAACCTGGTGCGTGCGTTCACCCATGTCAAGGAGTTGGGTACGGCGGCAGTAGACAGCATCAACATGCACAATGGCGAGAGACTCTCGGTTCGCAACATGGTGATCTAGAAGGCTTTTGGAACAAAATGGGCAATCCATGGATGCCCGGCGATCTGCGGGGGTGGTTTTAACATTGGGCCGTTGGAGTTTCAGGGCAGCGTTCCATGGGGCAGTCTGAGGTCAGCGGTCAACAGCACTGACACCTTTACGTATAGCAGTGGAGGGTCACCTCCAGCAGTGATGATTTCGTTGTTGTTGGTGTTAGATCCTCGATGGGCTGATCCCACCTTTGTCTAATTATCTACCACCGCGTTGGGGTCATGTTCCTGTGCGCTCTAGGCTCCAGCTTCACGCTCAGGAGACTGCGGTCGAGATTTGGGGATGGCTTCGAGCAGCCCCCGATCCTGCACATGTTGAGCCCGCCCTCGGCCCCCCTTCTTGCGGCAAGGAGATTATTAGCCAGAAGATTTTTTCCAGCCCAGGGCTATCCAACGAGAGTCGCCAGCAGATCAGGGGGCAGAGTCGAATGCGGGAAGAGGGTTTATTCGATGATGTTTACGCTCCGGTTTGTACCAGGTCCTGGGCGCGCTGGGGCGCCTGGCCAATGGCCCCCTGGAGGTGCCCCGCGTTCTTGCTGTATATATAGTTACTGTTGTTTTACAGCTTCTGTCCAAGGTCCTCGGAGCCAAGGCAAAATTGTAAGCGGCCTCACAGATGCTCCGACAAGGTCCTCCACATAGCATTGGAGTTGCAATCCCTCCTCTCGTGGATGGCGGAATTTCAATCCAAGCATATCAGCAGACTGGTCGACCAGCTGTAGTGGATCTGCCCATGCATGGAGGCCCGTTCCGTAAGTACTGGCACGCGCAAGTCTGCTGCCCGTGCGAAAAAATGCAGGAGGAAAGCATTTGATACGCCCCCTGACCTCATCCCCATTGTCCATCACATGAAGGGCATCGTTCATCTCTCGCGCGGTGAAGCCGCCACCCAGAGGTGTACGGAGATTTGCGCCAGGGCCAGGGACGGCGGGGCCAAGGAGGCCCACGGGATCCTCGCAGGGAGCCCCGAGGTCCGCTCCGAGGTCGGGGGCCCCTCCTCCCAGGCCCCTTCCTCCTCCTCCTCCTCCTCCTCCTCCTCCTCCTCCTCCTCCTCCTCCTCCTCCTCCTCCTCCTCCTCCTCTGCTCCTTTTGCCATTTTTTGGGGGGGGGGCTCGGCTGGAGGCCCAGAGAGCTAGGTGGAAGAAGGCCTGCCGGACTCCGCAGGAGGCCCCGCGGGCCTCGGCGGGGCCCTATGGGGAGACCCGGCCCGAGTGCCGGCGCCCGTTGCTGTGGAGCACGTCCGCAGGCGCGCCCAATTTTTTCGAGTATCGACTTGCAGGGCAGACGGGTTTCTCGGGTCGGGCGAAAGGGGGGGATTGGGAAAGGGGGGGTTACGAAATTTGCTGCATGCAGCTGGTTTCGGCCTCACCGAGGGGCCCATTCCTCGATACATAGCCGCCTCCGGCGCCGGGAGGCGCCGGGAAAATCAGCTGCGGGAGCTGATTCTCAAACCCCCCCTTTGCTATCCCCCCCTTTCGCCCGACCCGAGTTTCATACCAGACATTGCGCTGTGCTGCGCGACAGTGCGTTGCACCGTGTCGCTCTGCTGCTTCCTGTCGTGAGCATGGCCTGCGATGGACCAGCCGGCGGTTCCGCCGCTCGACGTTCTCTGCGATGCGGAATCAGGGCGAGGGTCGGCCCAGGGGCCCCATCGGGCACTTCCCCTCGCCTGGTCTCGGGGCGGCGCAAGACATCACGCGCGGGAGTGGAAGGCTGAATGCGGGATGGCGGGACTACTTTTCCGCCGCCCAGACGCGTTCGCCGATACATTCTGTTTGGAGGGCTTCAGTCAGATCGGAGTGGGCTGGAGCTAGCAGGTTGCATGTCTTGAACCTCCTCTATGACATCGAGCGTGCGCTTTTCTTTGTTTTTTACTTGCATGTGCCCAGTAGTAGGCTTAGGGAGTATGCGGGCCTGGCCCACTATCCTCTTGACCTTTTGGACGTCTCTGTCTCCTCCCAGGTTTGGGTCCACGACTGCATGCGCGGCGGGGGTGGTCTCCGATCAGCCGCGGGCCACTCGGGGGGAAGTAGCAGGCAGCAGCTCAGCAACATGCGAATCTGAGTTATTTTTGAAGCCCAGGATGGAGGCCCTGGCGGAAAGCTGGCCTGACCCGGCTGCCGAGCCCTTTCGCCTTGACGATTTGTTGTTTGCAAGTTTTGGGGCGCAGTGCTGACTGGGCCCACAGCACCATGAAAGAGCTTGCAGGCAGCATGTCCAGGTACCTCCAGGATCCGCCCCACTTCCCGACGTCCGTCGGGCATGTTGCTAATTATTGCGGCCTTTTGTGGGCCTCCTCCTGGCCGCTCCGATCTCGGAGGGGGAGTCCCCCCTGCGGTCGTTGTCCCTGGGGTGGAGTTCGCTTCCGGTGAGTCTGGTATGGAGGGTGCAGCAGCGCCGCGAAGCGGAGACAGGAAGCAGAAGAAGGGGGGGGGCTCGGCATGCTCCAGCTGATGCACATATGCCTCGCGCCGTGCGCCAGGAGTGGCGTCGGGCCAGGCCTGCAAGAGACCTGCCCCGGGGGTCCCCCTGCGTGACTGGGCGGGGGCCCAGTGCTATGAAAGGACGAGCAGAGAGGAGAGGACGATTAGAACTAGGAGAGGGGGAGGGGCAGAGGAAGAAGAGGTCAAGGACAATGGAATATGAGGCGACGGAGGAGCAAGGAGAGCGCGTCGGCGAGGAAGAAGGACAAGGAGAGAGCGGCAGGTGGGAGCCCAGAAGCGCGCGCGAGGTGGACACTCGACGGCTTGCCTTGCACCGGTGTGTTCGGCCGGCGGGAGCCCAAGAAGGCGCCAGAGCGGGTCGTCGGGAGGTCAACGTGTTCCATCCCCCCTCCTTGGTATTCCCTCGCGTTTCCTTCGTATTTGTCTTGCATCGGTTTCCTTCAATCCTCCCCATCTCTTCGTCCTCCTCGCCATCTTCCTCCCTTCGTTTCCCGTGTTCCCGTTTTCTCCTCATTATTCATATTGCCGTTGGTTTTCTCATTATCAGTTGACATCGCGTTTCCTTCTCCGTCGTTTTCTCTTTCCCCGATTCGGTGGAAATGTGCAAGCAGAACATAGTGGGCATACACATGACAATTAATGAAGAAATATTTGAGGGAGCAGCAGATACCCCAACAGCGGTCAGGGAAAATGCTCATCCGTGTGATCCACAAGTGATTCTCGGGCTTACGCCGCACTGCCGACCCCTTGGGTTGTAGTGGGCATACCCCGCCGCCGTGTCTGGGTTGCGGATTTGACGCCCTTCCGACGGCTGACAGGGGTCGTTTGGGAGGCGCGTCGGGAGCGTCATGGAGGCAGTTTTTGAACCTGTTGGGGGCCTCCTGGTGGCGTCTGGGGACTTTTTCGGGGCGCTTTCGGCGCTCTCTGGGGGCCTCTCGGGAGCTTTTTTGGTGACTCTTGGGGTCATCTTGGGAACGGGAGCTCGGAATGTCCGTTCGGGTTCCCCCCTTGGGGCCGTCCTTGGGGCCTCCTCGGCCGTCTTGGATGCTTCTGGGGTCGTCTTTTGGCCCTCGTGTGCCGTCTTGGAGCCCTCATGCGGGCCTCTTGGCCCGTCTTGGGTCGATCTTTCAGGCTGCTTCGACCTGGGTTGGCCTCGTGAGAGCACAAGCGGCGAATGTGCTAAAAATGTAGGTCTTCCTAGGGGGGTGGACGATTTTTGCTCCTCGAAGGCCCCTCGGAACGCCCCGTGGCGACTTCTTGGAACGTCTTGTGGGCCTCTGGGGCCGTCTGGGGCCAAGCTTGGGCAACCCGGCGCGATCTTCCGGCGACTCACTCGTGCCCCTCTTGGACACTCCGGGGGCCCTCTGCGGGCCCTCTTGGCCCGTGTTGGGGCCGCCTGTCCTCATGTCGCGCTCGGGGGGTCCCCGAGGGGTACCCCCCAACCCACCCCTCCTGTCCCCCATGTCGCCTTCGCGCGGTCCTCGGGGGAATCCCCCCCTCTTCAAATCGACCGGACCGGGGCCCCGGGGGAGGGATGTGAGGGGGAAGCATCTTACACCCCGATGGACCCCGAGGTGACGGCGGATTGTCGGGAACGGGTCGGCTAATCCATGCGCAACCGAGTGAAGGAAGTACTAGAGTCGGGTCGGTGGCAAAGCTTTGAGCTGGCTTGCCCACACCCCCTTTGCACACGCCAGTTTTAGTCATGCGTTGAGACTGTGTATAGGAAATCCAGTTCAGGCTCCAGCACGTCAGAACTGTAGATGATGGCATCAGTTGCTGCATATGTCGTTCTGGCGGCCCACTTTCTCATGGCGATCCGGCGTTGCATGTGTGGTTTTAGTAGTTGTGCGCGCCCACAGGGTCACACGTTGGCCCGCAGGCGAATACGCGCTGGTAGGTTGGCATCCGCGTTAGGTCTCGACGGCACGGGGAGGCTTTATGTTAGCGCTCGGCGCAGGGAGCTTTGCGCCCAGGTCTTCCAGGTGTCATCCTCCCTCGCTCCCTGTCTGTGCTTGAGGGGCTGTCTTTCTGTGGCGGTAGCTTGGTAGGTAGTTTTGTTCCAGTGCAGCCCCACTCCAGCACTCCGGCTTTCACGCAGCCCGAGTTCCTGCCATTTTGGTCCTGACACACTCTTAGTTCAGGAAGCGCCTCTTCAGTAGTCTCCTTGTGCACTTCAGTAGTCTCTTTGTGCACTTTGTTTCTCTGCCGGATCGCTCCTGCGCTGGGGGCCCTCGGGCCTGCCGGGAGCAAGTGGGCCTTGTTGGCCTCGCCGGGGCCTCCACAGAGGGGCAGTCGTGCGCCCCGGACCGCTTGAAGCATCCTGGGCTGGCCACCGTACGGGCGCGAGTGCAGGTGAACATACATCGGGAGCGGAAAAGAGGGGGGTGATGACTAAAAAAGGGTGGATTTCTTGGCGCGGGCCATAATTTTCCCTCTGATTTCATGGCGCCTCTTCTTATTTCATTACGTCCCAGGCCCCCCGCTGGGCCGCGCACATGCCGCCGGTCATGATTTGCACCCCCCCTCTTGGACACCCCCCTCTTGGCTGCTCCCGAATACACAGTGTTGCCTCTTCAGCGTGTTTTTTTTTTTGTGGAACGTGTGTCTCGCCCCAGAAGGGTCTCCCGAGGCTGCGCACGATGAAGGAGTCCAGGGCGGAGCACAACCAGGGGGATCGCAGGACAATTGGGTACGACCGCAGCCCACAACCAAGTCATCCTGATCTGGTGTATCAGCGCACGGCCGACGGGACTCAGCAAATGTGTTTCTGGTCTTCGACGCGCCTCTGAAATCTCAGCCCCGAGGGGAGGATCTCGACTCACAAGCTCGGTGACTCAGAACTTCGGAGACGCGGAGCCTCAGCGTGATCTACTGCCGAAGCGTCGACACACGGAGGAGCGGGGCAGCGGGCGCTCGACGTTGCCGCAGCGGCGAGTCTCGGTGCGCTGGTCCCGAGCGGCCGAGCCTGCTCTCGGCTGCTCGGAACTGGGGCGGCGGCCCCGCGGCAACGGTGGAAGCGGCAACAGCCGACTGGAGGACGAGGAGCAGCGCCTCCTCCTCCTCCTCCTCCTCCTCCTCCTCCTCCTCCTCCTCCTCCTCGCGGCAACTGGGGCAGCGCCAAACCACCGCCCGCGATCACCGGGTCTGGAGATGGGGCGTTGCCTGCAGCTCTCTGACCTTGCGTGCATGGCCGTGCGTATGCGTAAGCAGTCTCGCACGTTCCATACAATCGACCTGAACCATTTATTGGTTTCAGAACGCATCCGGCAGGGTCCGCTTCTGATGCACTTTCGACACAGATAGCGGTGCTATTGAATGGATTGTCTGGGCTCGACGTCGCCAATTTGAATGCAAAATTAACCGACGTGCAGTATTGCGAAACATGGCCTAAGCACCCGCATTAGGTTCTCGATGATGAGCGATGTTCCGTACACCCAACCAGAAAGTCGCTCGAGCGTAATAGTGTTGCGTGGTGTTTACTGGCAATATCATCCCAGTGCTGCGGGTCATTCGATCACGGGAGCGGCCCGTTCAATGCCGCAAATAGAAATTGATTGTTGGATCCCCACGGGGCCCCGTTTCCAAGACAATATTGCTCGGTTGTGTTGGTCGCGATGTCGTGGATGAGGGGCAGCGTTTGAGTGGCACAACCATTATTTTCAGCAGTGGCCCCAGCATTCAACAACGGAACAGTATGGCATTGAGTTTGGATTCGAGGGGTGTTGTGTCTGACAACGGCGCATACAATTGATATGGCTTGCAATGTTACAACACATTCTGGTCGTCAATGCGGTTGGTGCGGGTTTGTGCCACTCACGGCAGGGGTTGACCACCAGCCGTTTCTTATGTTTGAGATGTCAGTTGCACGTTGTGAAGTTCGAAGACCTATTTTCCAAGTTGGAGCATGCATTCGATCACTGTCCATCTGTACATTTCTCCTCTTTCATCTCGTCCCCGCCCGCCCCCTCATCCTGGTCTCGAGTCCAACCCTGACCCCTCCCCACCCCCACCACTACAAATCAAGAGGTGTGTGTGTGTGTGTGTCAGTGCCTCGTCCACTCGACCCTCCGCCTGATCCTCTGCCGTTCTCCCGCCTCCCTCTCTCTTCTGTCCCCCCCCCCCCTCACTCCTCGAGATTCCCCTCCTCCCTCGACTGCCCGCTCTCCTTCCGCACTTCCCCCATCGTGCGCCGCCCACGGACGCGCTCTCGCACGGCCCTCTCGCCAGCCGAGGAAGAACGGGCCTGCCTGGGGAGAGGGTCGTTTTAGGGGGTGGGCCTGTGGCGGCCCTGCGCCGGCAAACGTAGCCAACGCGGTGATGCTCGCGCAGGGGCTCCAGGCAGACCGCAGTCAGACCACTGCCGCGCGAGCACGCGCGAGAGGAGAAAGCGAGAGGAGCGATGGAGGAGGAGGGCGAGGATGAGGAGGAGGACGGCTGTCAGCATTCAGCGCCAGGCGTTTCACAACACTTCTGCGCGCTCCTTCCACCCCTCCCTCCTTCCCTGCTTCCTCGCCCTCTGGCCCTCCTGCCTCCTCCCTTCCTCGTCCCTCCGTCCGTCCCTCCTCTGCCTCACCCGTCCTCTCCTCATCGTCCTTGTCATCGTCCTCCCTCCCTCCCGTGCTCTGGACTGTCGGGCATGGCGCGTCAAGGTGACCATGATCGGCTGGGAGGACCCCGGCAGCGAGATGGGGGCCTTGGCGCTGCCGCCAAGCGTGCAGTTCGACCGCCTGAAGTTCAAGCGAGGCAGCACGTCTGGGCTACAATGGGAGGAGTGTGGCCTGCCCTCTTCCCGTCGCCCATCCCCTACTCCCTCGCCTGCCCTGCCGACATGTCGGCGTCCATAACGGGCCGTCGGCGCATCTAGCTTTCGGCGGAAGGTTGGTGGAAGTTGGCGGAGTAGAATGGCGGCGGCTCCGCCGGCAGGAAGCCGGCGGAAGGCGGCGCAAGTGCAAGCGAGACGCCAACATTTGTGCGCTCGTGGTTTCCAGAATCGGCCATATGTTCCCTCGCCCCATCTTCGGCACCTTGCCCCTGGCGCCCCGAAGACGATCTTGGGACCCTTGTAATGCCACTTAGTCTGGCTTTCCTTCGCCTCCGCTGGTCTGCAGTGGTTTGCTGGAGGCCACTGGAGGCCACCAGATGCCGCAAGTGACAACGGGAGGACACACCAGAGGCCGCTGGAAGCTCAAAGGGGAACCACTGGAAACCACCAGGGGCCGCTGGAGGAGGCACTGCGGCCACCTGGGTAAGTACGAAAGGCTCCCAGGAGCGTCTCCTGAACCCCCTCCTCGCCGCCCCCCCCCCCGCCCACCCACCCCGCCCGCATCCCAATTCTGGATCACTTCTGTGGCTCCCTCGTACGTTCACTCCTGCTCCTCAGTCTTCCCTCTCCGTCCACCCCCCCCCGCTCTCCTCCCCTTCGCTGCCTCGCCCTTCCACTCCTTCTCATTCTCTCACTGTCCCTTCCCGCCTCTCGTTTCTCCCGCTCGCCCTCTCTCTCTCTCTCCCCCCTGCCCGTACACTCTCCGTCCGCCTTCCATGAGGAGGAGGGGGGATCGAAGGTCCAGAACGTTCTGGACGCTGTTGGGCGCCTCTGCGGGTCCTGGGGGGCATGAGGGGTCCATGGGAGGGCTCCGTTCCAGGGAGGAGTTTGGCAGACGCATTGTTGGTGGCCCCCACAATCGGCACCGCCTGGCCTCCTTCATCCCCTCGTGTTTCCCTTGCCACCCCCGCCCAGGCGACTCCGTGACAGACGCGTTGCTGGTGGCCACCCAATCAGCACTGCCTGGCCTCCTTCATCCCCTCGTGTTTCCCTTGCCACCCCGCCCGGCGACTCCGTGAAAGAAGCCTTGCTTCGAAGAAGAAAGCGCTAAAGTTTATGATTATGTTCTTTGTTATTATTCTAGTGTCGGTGGCCCCCCAATCGGCACTGCCTGGCCTCCCGCATCCCCCCGCGTTTCCCTGGCCACCCCCGCCGAGGCGACCCCGTCTCCGTGACAGGCGCCTCGCTGGTGGCCCCCCAATCGGCACTGCCTGGCCTCCCGCATCCCGGGCGGCGGCCGGGAGGGCGGGCGACCCGCCGCGAAGGCCTCGGCGCTGCGCGCGGCGGCCGCGGCCACGCATGACCTCCTCCTCCTCGTTCTCGTCATCCTCCTCGTCCTCCTCGTCCTCCTCCTCCCGTCCTCTTCCTCCTCCTCCTCCTCCTCCTCCTCCTCCTCCTCCTCCTCCTCTGGCCTGTGTTCGGCCTGTGTTCGGCCTGGTGGGGCCTACCTTGGCCCCTCCCAGTGCCTTCCTGGATTTTCCCAGCTTCGGATGGCCGCCGAGTTTAAAATTCGTGTAGTGATTCAGCTTTGTCTCGTTTTCCGTATCGTGAAACTGGTTAGCAGTTTCCTTCCATATTTCATGTTAGGCCGCTGTGCCGCCGCCCCCGCGAGAAGACAGCTGAAGTCGAGAACTCTGCGCGCCTCCACGCCGCTTATTATTATTACTCCTCCTCCTCTCCTCCCCCCTCCCCTCCCCTCCTCCTCTCCTCCTCCTCCTCCTCCTCCTCGTCCTCCTCCTCCTCCTCCTCCCCCTCCTCCTCCTCATGTTCCCCCTGCCACCACCGCCGAGGCGACTCCGTGACGATCTCCGAGTCGAGGCAACAGATCCGCAGAGGCGAGCAGCTGGAGAAGATCGGCGAGGCGGCGGCCCCCTCTTCGGTGCCGTCCTCCTGGCTGTGCCGGCGGGCCTCCCAGGAATCGAATCAGAAACAACTACATGAACATAAATTTTGGGCGGCGACGGTCCGGCCAGACCGCCGCTGGGGCCCAGCGTCGACGGCGGCGACGGGAGGCGCCAGTCGAAGGAGAAACAGCTGCTTAAACATACGTCCGCGCGGATTTCTTACATCCGCGCTGAGCCCCCCCCGGCGGCGCCGCCCGCCTGGCTGTGCCGTCGGCTCTCCCAGGAGTCCGGGAGGAGGCAGGCCTGCCGGGGTCGAGCTGTGCACGCTGCGCGCATGATCGAAGACGGAGAGACGCCATAAACATGAACGTTTGCTGCTCCGCGCGGGTTTCCTGGATCCGCGCTGGGCCCCCCCAGCGGCGCCTTCGGCGCCGCCCCTGGCGCGCTCCGCGCGCCAGGGAGGGGGGGGGGTCCAGCGCAGATCCATGAGACCCGCGCGGAGGCAGGCATGCCAGGGTCGAGCTGTGCAGACAGGAGTCTCCGACGAGCCTGGAGGTTGGTGTTGGTGGCAAGGAGGCGGAGCAGCAACAGCAGCGAGGGGAGCGGGAGGGGAAGCAGGGAGAGGATCAGGAGGAGGAGGAGGAGGAGGAGGAGGCGGAGGAGGACACGGCCTGGCACGATGGAGCATCAGGGGCAGGAGGACGAGACTGAGCAGAATGAGCATCGTAGGAAAGAGGATGAGGAGGCCGCTAGAGAGAAGAACGATGAGGATCTGGAGACAGGCGAGGAGGAGGAGGGGGAGGAGGAGAAGGAAGGACGAGGAGATGGTGCACGTTTTCGGCCTGTTTGGCTTGGCGGATGGGAGGACGAAGTGGCTTGGCGGCGGTGCGACGCAATCCGCGAACATGCTCGTTTTCGGTGCCCTTTTGGTTTTCGACGCCCCTTCTGGTTTTTGTTTGCGCACCCTTTGGTTTTCGGCGCATTGATGGTTTTCGGCGCCCTCTTGGATTCCGGCGCCCCTTTGGATTTCGGCGCCCTCTTCGTGTTTGGCGCCCTTTTGATTTTCGGCGCCCCTTTGGTTGTCGATGTCCTTTTGGTTTTCGGCGCTCGTTTGTTTTCGGCGCCCCTTTTGTTTTGTGCACCTTTTCTGGCTTTCGGCGCGACTTTGGGTCCTGGCGCTCCTTTGCTTCACAGCGCTCTTTTGGATATCGACGCGTCTTTGGCTTTTCGGCGCCCCTGTGGTTTTGGGCGCATCGTTGGTGTTCGGCGCCCCTTTGGTTTTCAGCGCCCCTTTGGTTTTCCTCGCCTCTTTGGTTTTCGGCGCTCATGCGGTGTTCGGCGCCCCTTTGGTTTTGGCCGTCCCCCTGTCCGTCTGCGGAGCTTCTGTTGTTTTCGGCGCCCCTTTCGCTTTCGGCGCCCTTTTGATCATCGGTGGGTCCGTGGTTTTGTTGGCGCTCCTCTTATTGGTTTTCGGCACATCGTTGGTTTTCGGCGCCCCTTTGGTTTTCGGCGCCCAGGTGGTTTTCGTCGCCCCTTGGGTTTTCTGCCCCCCTTCGGTTGTCGGCCCTTCTTTTGGTTTTCGGCGCCCCTAGGGTGTTCGGCGCCTTTTGGTTTTCGGCGCCCTTTTGGTTGCGACGCCCTTTTGGTTATCGGCGCCGTTTGGTTTCTGGCCCCCCTGTGGTTTTCGGCGATTATTGTTGTGTGGCGTTTTTTGTTGTGTTCGTCCTCCTCTTGGTTTTCTGCGCTCCCTTGGTTTTCGGTGCCCTTTGGTTATCGGCGCCTTTTCGGTCTTCGGCGCACCCTCGGTCTCGGCGCTTTGCGGTTTTCGGTGCCCCATTGGGTTCGGCGTTCCTTTGGTTTTCGGTGCCCTTTCGGTCTTCGGCGCCTCTGTGGTTGTTGGCACCGTTTTGGTCTTCGATGCCCTTTTGGTGTTTGGAGACCTTTCGGATGCCGGCGCTCCAATGTTTTTCGGCGCCCTTTTGGTTCCCGACGTCTTTTTCAAGTTCGGCGACCCTTGTGGGTTTCGGTGCTCTTTGGTTTTCGGCGCCCCTTTGTTTTTCAGCGCTGATCTGGTTTTCGGCGCTCTTTTGCTTTTCGGCGCCTTTTTGGTTCTCGGCGTTCGTGAGGCTTTCGGCGCCCTTGTGGTTTTCGGCGCCCGCTTTTCGGCGCCCTTTTGGTTTTCGGCGCTCCTTTGGTGTTCGGCTCTCTTTTGGTTTTCGGCGCCCCTTTGCTTTTCAGCGCTTGCTCGGTTTTCGGCGCTCCTTTGGTTTTCGGCGCCCTTTTGGTTTTTGGCGCACCTTCCGTTTTCGGCGCCCTTCTGGTTTTCAGCGTTCTTTCGGGTTTCGGCGCGCCCTTGCTTTTCGCACCCTTTCGGCGCTCTGTTGGTTTTCGACGCCCTTTTGGGCTTCGGCGCTTTTTCATGAGCCAGGTGGGGGGTGGGGGCTGCGAAGCCTCCACCCCTCAGCCCAAAAGGGAGGGGGGAGGGGCTTCCGGCAGGGGGGGTTCAAAGAGGGGACAGGGTAGATACGCCGCCAAGCCCTCCCCACCCTTTGGAAAAGGGAGGGGGCTTCGGGGCTTCCTGAGCGCGGAAAGGGGAGGAGGGGGGGGGGGAGCTTCCGAGGGGCGGACAAAAAAGTAGGAGCGGGGGGCTTCCAGCAGAGGAGGGGTCGGGGGTAGCTAAGCCCTCCCTCTCGCCCTTCGGACAGAGAGGTGGGGTAGCTTCCGGAGCGCGAAAAGGAGGGGAGGGGGGGGGGTCCGACGGGCGCAAAAGGAGGGGGGGCGGGGGGCCCGGGCAGGGGAGGTCCAAGGTGGGGGCGGGGGGGTAGCCAATGGGGACCCCCCCCCCCCATTTGGGAGTAAACCACGGGCGCGCGCTCTCATACTTGGGCTGCTCAGGTGGCCGAGAGATTGTTACCACCAGCGCCACCATTCAGGATCATGATTCCTCGGTGGAGGCGGCCCCCTTCCGCGCGTTGGTGTATCAGGTGCAAAACGGCGACGCGCACGTGCATGAATCCACGTTGGTTTCGAGAGTACGCATTGCGCGATCGTTCGTATCGTGCGGCCGTTCTCGCGGACTGGGGGCCCGCATTCATGTATGTGGTTGGGCGCATACGTCCTTGGTGGGCTCCCTATTGGCGGCGAGCGAGGAGGAAAAGTGAGAAGGGGCGGGCCTTCTCGGAAGGCTCGCAAGTCCCCCAGCCTTCTGCGAAGTTTCCGAAGCCTTCCCCGACGACGCAGGACACCTCTCAGAAGGCCTGCTGGCCTTCTGGGAAGGCCCTCCGAGAGGGCCCTCTCTTGCTCACTTCCCTCCCTCTCGTTCGCCGCCGAAGGGAGGGGCAACTCCTGGGAGGCCGCCGCCAGACCCGAGGGCGGTTCTGGGCCCCGACGGAGAAGCCTTCGGGCCAGAGGAGGGGCCGGCTGGAGCCCGGCGCGGGATCGAGCTGGGGCCAGACAGGGCCCTGCGGGGCCGAGCGAGACGAGGGGCTGCGCAGGCCCGTTGCCGACCAGGGAAGAAACCACCACCAGCGCCCGCTCTGATTTTTCAACCTCCCTGACTTCCCAGGCCCACGACGTCATGATTTTGTCACGACGCGACCCCCAGAGGTCTCGACCCATTCCCCGGGACCGGTTTGTCGTCCCGAATCCTTCTTGGACGGTCTCATGAGGGCGCCCGCAGAAGGGCCCCCGGAGGCCCAGAACAGCGACACACCTCGCGCCATGAGTTGTTCCATTCTACCCGAGGGGGTGCACACCTGCGCCCGCTCTGATTCCAACCTCCCCGGCTCCCAGGCCCCCGCCTCTCTCCTCGGCCCGCTGGCGCCCGGGCCGCCCGCCAGCCGCCGCCGGCTCCGGAGGGGCCACGCCCCGCCTGCAGGCGGCGCGCCGCTCTGCCCCGGCGCCGCCGCCCCGCCCGCGCGCGGGGGGGGGGGATGGCTGCGGGGGGCGGCCCCGCCGGGGCCCGGGCGCCTCTGCTCGAGTTCGTGCCGCACTCGGGGGCCCAGATCTCCGACGAGCTCAGGAGGAGGAGGAGGAGGAGGAGGAGTTCGAGGAGGAGGCGGAGGAGAAGGAGGGGGAGGAGGAGGAGGAGGAGGAGGAGGAGGAGGAGGAGGAGGAGGAGAGGAGGAGGGAGGGAGGGAGGGGGAGGAGAGGGGGGAGGAGGAGGAGGAGGAGGAGGAGGAGGAGGAGGAGGAGGAGGAGGAGGAGGAGGAGGAGGAGGAGGAGGGCGAAGAGGAGGGGGATGAAGGAGCAGAGCCCCCAGATCCTGGCGCGGCAGCCTGTGCTTTCACCGCGGGGGAGGGGGGAGGGAGCTCGCCTCCTTTCGGGCCTGGGGGGGCCCCCACGGGCCGCTGCGGCTCGGAGGGTCGTGTGTGGGGTCCAGGGTGTCGGTCGTGATTTGTCGCTCCCATTGTTTGGTCGTGACGCCGGCCGATCGCCAATCGGGGTCAGGTCGGCCGACTCTCCGTGCCCAGTTCCCTATGACGACCACTTGCCGTTTACGTCAGGATCTGGAAGCAGGAGTGAGTCCCCGAGCGCGTTCCACTACTCGCAAGGTGCCCACTCGCAAAATTTTCCGAAACACACACACATGTCTGCCTCGATGTAGTTTATCGTAGATCCCCCGCGGCGGATTCGGGCCATCTGCGAGTGGCCACTTTGCGAGTAGTGGAACGCGCTCGTCCAGTGGGGGCGGCTCGCGTCTAGGTTGGCTCAGGCCCCCCCCCCTCGCCTCCCTCCCCTCGCTGCGCCGGCGCGGGCGGGCGAGCGCTGCTGCTCGGGCCCTTCGCTTGTGCACCCGCCGAGCTCCCTCGCTGGGTCCCGGACCCAGCTGGGTTGCCGACCGTTGCCGTGCAGTGCAGGGTTGCTGTTGAGTCGGGCCTGTCCTTCTACAGGGGGGATATCCAACAATAGTCAGAAAATAATAATCAGGGAAACGATGTTTTGACAATGTTTGAACATTTGGGGGGGCATTTGGGGGGATTTGTTTCATTTGCCGTCCAAAATCCGCCTGTAGGGGGACACGCCCGACCTAAGGTTACTGGTTCCCCTGCTCCTCTTCATCCCCCTCCCTCCTCCTCCTCTCCTCCTGCTCGCGCGTCCCAGGGCCAGGCTCAGGATCGAAACCTCGAGTGCCCAACTTATCCCCCCGCCGAGCTTCTCCACCGGGTCCCTGAACCTCGGACGGGGCCAGGACGAGGATGAATCCATTCCAGAGCGCTCCGGAGCGCTCTCCGAGCGTTCAGGAACGCTCCGAGAAGGCCGCGGCGCCCGAGACATCCCCCAGAGCCGCAGGATCCCAGGGAGATTCAAGGGCTCCCTCGAGGGCGCGAAGTTATTCGCGCTTCGCGCTTCGCGGTCCTCGCTGCTTCTCCCCCTCCCCCTCGTCCTCCTATTCTCCCTTTGGGGGGGCGGCGCGAGGGCGCGAAGTTATTCGCGCTTCGCGCTTCGCGCAGCGCGAAGCGCGAAGTTGGGAGCCCTAGGAGATTCTCGATGGATCCACCCCCGACTTTACAGGCTCGAGCCTCGTTTGGGCTTCGTCTTGGAACCATCCACGGTTGCCAGCCGTCGCCCTCCCTCGCGCCCCGGCGCGCCGCGGGTCCTCGGGCGGAGAGCTTCCCTTCTCTCCAGGGGCGGTAGGCGCAGGAGCGCGGAGGCAGTTGCAAGGGCTCCCCCGAGGGCGCGAAGTTATTCGCGCTTCGCGGTCCTCGTTCCTCCTCCCCCTCCTCCTCGTCCTCCTTTTCTCCCTTTGGGGGGGCGGCGCGAGAGCGCGAAGTTATTCGCGCTTCGCGCTTCGCGCAGCGCGAAGCGCGAACTTAGGAGCCCTTGTAGTTGCGCGTCGCGGGGCGCGGTCCGCGAGGTTTGGTGAACCACTTGGAGGGTCAGTGCCGTGGCCGCGGCTGTGGACCAGCCCAGGGTGAAGGTCGGCTGCAGTGGAAGCCCATGCCAAGAAACACCCTGCTTGCCTCCAGGGTGCACGGGGCTTCTTGGCTTTCCCTGGCTTTGCGATGGAGAGCGTGACGTCCCCACACCAAAGATCGATGGACGTCCCGGGGTTCCAGGGCTGGGTTTCTTGTGGGAGGCTTCTTGTGGTCGAGCTCCTACTGTACACCTCAGAGTGACCTTGCGCTGGAGCGACCTTTCGTGCGCGGCTTTCTGGGGGCGCGGGGGGGGGGGGGCGGGGGCAAGCCCAAGCACGCATACCGCTACCCCCTATACCGCATGCAGCGATCGGCCAGCCGCGCACCACTTGAGGACGGTCCGCGCTCTGGAACGGCCGCGGAGCCCGATACCTCCTGCAGGCCCGGCATCTCTGAGAGAGGTCCCTCATTTTAGTCAGCAGCCCCGGTGGTTTCTTTTCTGCTTCGGCTCAGGTGCTGCAGATCAAGGCCGCGTGCGAGGGCATCACGTCCGCGGAGTCGCTCAAGCTGAAGTCGGCGACTGGTCGGCCGAAAACAGAATCACAGCCGAGGAAAGCCCCAATCAGTGGATGGTTTGAGAAATAGTGACTGTGAGGTCGATGGGTAGATCTATAGTACGACCCATAGTGAGGACGATAGTAGGGTCGACCGTGAGACCGATCGCGAAGTCGATTCAGTGAGATCGATAGTGAGATCGACCGTGTCGCTCCCTCGACATATGTATGTATGTACGTATGCATGTATGTATGTATGTATGTATGGATGGATGGATGGATGTACATGTGTATGTATACACAAGATGTTGAGGTTCGCTGCCCTTCGCCTTCTAATCTTGATCATTGCACCTACATGTCTTATGGACTCTGCGATTCGCAGATTGATGTAGCTGCAGTGTTGCTACGACACATTCTCGGACCTGACGTTGGGGGGCTAGTCTGGCGCAGCCCCGATTAGCAACAAACCCGACGCGTTCCGTCTAAACCGAACGACAGGTTCGGCACTCGCCCAGCACGAAGGGACGGCAGCTGCGGTTGCCAGTTGTCTCGCGCCGGAGGTGGCGCTCGCAAAAGACGGATGTAGCCGAGGCTCAAACGAGAGTGAAAGTCTCACGCACGGATGCGGCCTGCTTTGGGGCGGTAGCACAAATTTTGGAAATGGATGTGGCTGGCGCTTGGGCGGAGCACCATTCTCTCATGAGGGCTGTGGGAACCGTGCGAGTGGAGCGGCATCACAATAGTCAATGAGGGGCGTGGCTGGCGCTGCGAAATGACTGCCGCGTTCCATGAAGGATTTGGCCAGCGCGCAGACGGTATCATGACTCGTGGACAGGGGTGTGGCCAGCGCTCGGGCGAGAGCGCCAATCCCATCCATGAATGAGGCTTGTGCGCGACCAGGCTCTGAGGCAACAGTTCTGGTCGTATTGGAGAGTGTGGTCAGTGCTGGGGTGGCTGCGCCATTATTGGATCAGTATGCTGCCACGGAGAATACCATTGTTGAAGTACTGCAAACCGCACGTGCGAAGCGAAGGAGGAGCTGAATGAGGAGGAGGAGGAGGAGGAGGCGGTGAAGAAGGAGGAGCAGGAGGAGAAGAAGGAAGATGAGGAGGAGGAGGAGGAGGAGGAGGAGGAGGAGGAGGAGGAGGGGGAGGAGGAGAGGAGGATAAATGCGCTGTGGGAAAGCCGAGAAAAAGTGCAAGCGAAGATCCTACGGCCCCTTGGGAAGGCAGGGTTCATAGTGTCCCCCCAGGAGCTCCACTTGCGGGTCCAGTGTCTAAGTTCGCACGGTGTCGTTCCGCCCGTCTCGGCACACCCATCACACCGATCGTGTCCCAGAGGGATGTAGTTCACGTGCGGCCATAGTCAGAGAATTCGCGTAACGTCACGTCTCCCAGAGTATGGCGACTGTCTCCTCACACGGATCGTACCCCACAGGGAGTTGCACGGACGGCCCCAGAGCTCAGGTTCGCATCCCGCCACCTCGCCCATGCTGGCACACCCCTAACATGGATCGTGAGTCCGGGGCGTTTGTAGTGCTTCTCGGGACCTCGCGGCGTTTGTTTGTGGGGCCTCTTGGAGTCCTGAGATGAATCGTGAATCGGGGGCCTCTTGGAGCCTTGGGCAGCCTGCTGGGAGTCTTTTGGAAGCATTCTGGAAACTCTGGGGGCCTCTTGGGCTGTCTTGGGGGTCCTTTTGGGGCTCGTTTGGGCCGGCTGTGGGCCCTCTTGGGCTGTCCTGGGGCTCTCTTGGGCCCCCCTGGCGCGCTCCTCGCGCCAGGGAGGGGGGTACGCAGCCATCCAGCTTTCGCGTCGAAGACCGCTGGAGACCGACGGAGACCGCCAGAAGCCGCCGAAGACCGTCACGAGACCGCCGAAGGCCGCTGAAGACCGCTCGAAGACCGCCGAAGGTGGCCCAGGAGCAATGGGCAACAAGGCGTCCATGGTCGAACACGAAGGAAAGGGTGGGTGGCATGCCAGGTCGGAGGATCGCGCCGCATCGCCGATGCGTCGGCGACCTGGCGCGACTCGGAGCTATCGATGTTCTCCGTCCCGACGCCGCATTGGCATCGGCGATGCATCGGCGATGCGGTGCGAACTTGACCCCATCTATTCCGGCCCTGTTTAAGAGCCTCCATGTAGGGGCTCAAGAGACGGGGGTCAATTCAAACGAGATCAGCAAGATCGCCGGATCTTGCAGGATCTTGCAGAGCCAGTGTCGCATTGACGCAGGCTTGGGCGTAGGATCCTGCAGGATCTTGCAGAATCCTGCAGAGCCTGACTGACCCGGGTCTGACTTGACCCGGGTCAGTGGATCCCCAAGTCCCGACGTCGCCGTTGCGTCGGTGATGCATCGGCGATGCGGTACGATCTCACCCCCATCTACTCCGGCCCTATTAGGGACGCTCCAGACAGGGCCTCGCCTTCCAGGATCGAAGGAGTTGCCATCTCTTCCGAGGCAGAAGGCGGCGGAAGTGAAACGAGGCCGCCTCCGCCAGCGGAAGCAAACGGAAGGCTTGTGGAAGGCGGCGGAAGGTTGGCGGAAGGTGGCGGCGGCCGACAAGATAACAACATTTGGGTTCAGGTTTTCTGGAATCGGCCATTGAGGAGCCTTCATGTGAGCATCGAGATGGAAAGAGGAGCAAGGATCGGGGATGGAGCATCCTAAATGGAGGAATCTCGGTACAGCTCACACCAGCCTGGGTCACCTTGGCAAGATAATGGACGCCAGCTCGCTGACACAGCCTGGGCACTCATGGTAGCAGATGCCAAGACAGAACACAGCCATTACCAACCCACCATCACAGCCTTGAATCAAGAGGAGGGCCATCACATTGTTCTCCGTACGCCAGCATCGGCACTCTCGCAAGGATGGGGGGGCGGAGGGAGGAGCGGGAGGCAGGAGGAGGAGGAGGAGGATGAGGAGGAGGAGAAGGAGGAGGAGGAGGAGGAGGAGGAGGAGAGGGAGGAGGAGGAGGAGAGGGAGGAGGGTTGGGTTGGGAACGGCCTAGAAGGCAAACCGAAGTCGGCGGCCGCCCCCTCGGGTGGTCAGCGGCCCGCCTCGGAAGGCCCCAGACTGGGCCTCATAAAAGAAGATCCCGATCGGGGGCGAGCACGAGCCGCGAGCGAGACGCATCTCCGTCGGATGGGCCTGTCTTCCACCACCACCACCATGAGTTGGAGGGGGAGGGGGTCCTCCTCCTCCTTCTCCTCCTCCTCATCTTCTTTCTCCTCTTCGTCCTCCTCCTCCTCGTCCTCCACCCCCTTCCCCCCTTCAACTTTTGGTGGTGGTGGTGGAAAATAGGCCCATCTCCGTATCCCTCGGGAGGGGCAGAGCCCCCACCCCGACACGTCGATTCGTGAATCGTCCTTTGTCGGTTCTCGAGAGGGCGCCGCGTCCTTCGTTTTGAAGGCTTGCGCCCGCCAGGTTTGGGCCGAGGCCATTTTCACGAAACCGTGTTTACTAAGGGGGGGTTGTCCATCCCCCAATCCTCTACCATGCGGACTGGTCTCCTCAGCCGCGACCTCTAGATACCGGGCGGCGTCTCGCGGATGTCCTGCGTGGAGCGTATCCATGCGATTGTGCGCTCATGGGGTGGTGCCTCGGAACCCAGACTGCGAGCGCATGGAGGTGGATATGTTCGACGGCTGTGAGTCGATCCCTGGCATCCTCGCGTCGTGAAGCCATTGCGACCGAAGTCTTTCCTGCCAGATTTCAGCCTCGGGGGGCCCTTGCCAGGCCCAAGGGCCGTCAAGGACGACTCGGGATGAGAGATTGGTCCTGGAGGAAACCAGCCGCGCGCAGAGGGGGAGGGTTCTTAGAAGGCGCGGGCCTTACCTATAGATGGAATGCCCGCGCCTTCTAAGAAGCAGCCTCCTTCGAAAAAGCCCTCCCCCCTCCCTCCACCCCCTTCTGCGCGCCGCCTAGGAAAGGCTCAGATCTCGCACAGTGAACAGAAACAAGCACGGCGTCGGTGGTCCAGGCTGCAGAGCAGGCCGGGACGGGCAGACAGGGCCGCCTCCCTTCTGAGGACGCTGCCGCAGGAAACGGCGGCCCTGTACTTCGGCCCCGACGGGGCCGAGGGCCGTTCAGTAGGAATATGAGGGGGGAGGAGACGGGTCGCACAAACTGCCACGACGCTCAAGTAAGGCAGGGCTCGCGTTTGGAAGCGACTCGCTGGTGCATCGGTCCTTCGGCGCTCCTCATGCACCCAGGCGCTATACTTGTTGCCACGAGAGAGTCGTGCCTTCCTGGCCTGTCATCCTGGCAGCAGCTCGGCGGTAGACGCCGGAGAACAGCTGTGAGGAAGGGGGGGCCGAGGGCGGGGCCCCGGCTCCTCAGGAGAGGCTCGGCTTCGACCGCTGGATCGCGGAGGCCATCGAGCGCCCGAGCAGCGTCGGCCAGTCGCCCCCCCGCCGCTCGCCCTGCCCCGTGGCCGCGCGGCCCCTGGCCTCCGCCGGCGCCACCTGCCCGCCGCTCTTCTCCCTGCTCGGCGGCAGCCCCCCGAAGCAGCAGCGCTCCGCCGACGCCGCCGGCACGGGCGACGGGTCGCCCGCCAAGCGCGCCAGGGTGGGCGCCGGCGAGGCCAGCCCCCGGCCCTGCTCCAGTGCGGGCCCGCGCGAGCACGGCTCGCCGGAGAGGGCGGAGCAGGGCAGCGCGCGCGCCAAGGGCTGCCCCGCGGTGTCCCACGGCCTGTCCGTGGTCGCCTCGCCCTGCCGTTCCGCCGCCAGGAGGCCGGGGCACTCGCCTCCGTCGGCGCACCTGCCTCCCGGAGGTGCGGCCGCGGGGAGGGCGGACGCGGCAGCGCCCGCAAGCTCCGCAGCGGCATCGGCTCCAGCCCCGTCGCAGGTGCTGCAAGCCAGCGCCCGTGCCAGAGACTCGGGCATGGCGCCAGCGGCCTTCGCGCAGCCGTCCTGCATGGGCGACGCAAGCCCCCCGGTGACGCCGAGGGTTGTGATTCCCTCCACTGGGTGGCAGGCATCGGCGCTATTTGCGCCGCCCAGCCGCTCGCCATCCCCCGAGGAGAAGGGGAGGTCGCAGGCGCCGCTGGCCGCCTCCTCCAGCGCCGCGGCCCTGCATGCGCCAGCGCCCCCGGCCAGGGCCCCCGTGCAGGCGCAGGAGCTGCAGGCGGGCGACGGCCTCACCGCCACGCCTCAGCAGAAGGGCACGCCGGGCTCCGTGTCACAGCGGATCCGGATGTTCGAGGCCCAGAGCCAGCCCTCCTGGGGGAATCCCCTCCTCGGCTCCGCCCCCCGCCTCGGCTCCGCCAGAGCCGGCAGCTGCAGCAAGGCAGCCGCCCCCGCGGCTGGACGGGCGCAGGGAGGCACCCCGGCGGGCGTCAGCGCCAGCAGCCTGTTCGAGCCCATACAGAGGCCCGATGCCCGGCCCTGCCCACAGGTCGGGCGGGCGGTCATGGGGGTGGGGGCGTGACCCAACTGGGGGGTGAAGGAAAGGGCCCCAAAGGGGCCCTCCGCGGAGTGGAGCGACACGCCATCAGCTTGCGAGGCGCCGCGTGTCGTCGGGGCCGCCGCCGCGACACGCCGGGCAAGAGTTCCTGACCGCGAGCTGCTCGCGGGGCCGCCTGCCCAGGCGGTGGCTGCCCGCGCGTCCGCCCGTCTTTCGGCGGCGCCGATCCGCCTGGCCCGGCGCCCCATCCAGGTCACACCCCTCGACTAGACGTAAGAGTGACCTTTCGCCGGAGTGACCTTTGGTGCGGGCACAGATGAGTCCTGCAGATGGCTAAAAACGAAGCAGCAGAGCAGTAGCAGCTGGTTGCGCTCCAAGGTTTGGCCCCTCGCGGCCCCCAAAAAGCCGCACGCCAAAGGTCACTCTTACCCAGGGCCCGGCCCCCCCATCCAGGTCACCCCACTTGACGGCGCGTACAAGGGGGTACGGGGAGGGGGGAAGGCTTCCTACAAGGAGGCTGCTTCTTAGAAGGCGCCCGCTTTACATACACAGACAAGGCCCGCGCCTTCCAAGAAGCAAGGGTGCTTCTAAGAAGCCCTCCCCCTCCGCCTACCCCTCTCTGCGCGTTGCCGACCCTCGTTGCCACCCGCCCGAGCAGGGCGAGCCAGAGGTGCGCCCGCAGCAGCTCTTCCGGTCGCAGTCGGCAGACCTCTTTGGCCGGCGGCCGATCGGCGCCGAGAGCAGCCGCGAGCCTGCGGACGAGGTTGCCGTCGGCGCTCGCGAGGGGGTGGGCGCGAGGGGAGGCAGTTTTCTGAGATCGAGTCAAGCGTTGCATGGCAAAGCGTGCTGGCTCGCCTAGGAGCCCAACAAACAATGGTCTGAGAACCTTCTGTGGTCTGCACGAAATGTTCTTAGAACAGTTCTGACTGAGATTGTTTTGTTTTCGTACAGAGGGATGGCCATATACTAAGAGCAGGGATTTTGTTATCCGAACATTTTTGGGTTCTAAGGACATGTCGTGGGAGGCCTACAGGAATGCCCCGACGGTCGGTCCCTGCTCAATCCAGGAACAGACAAACGCCAGGGACACAACGTGTCGGAGGCCCACGCTGATCTCTTGGCTCGGCGCTGGCGCCCCGCCCTGGCCCGCAGAGCGCGCCAGGGGCGGCGAACACGGCGCCGCCAGGGGCCCTGGCGCCGCTCCGAGATCTCCGCGCGGACCGCCGAACCCCGAGGTCCGACGTGGCACGAAAATAGCAACATCGCAAAACAATTGTTTTTTTGATCTGCGGGGCGAGAGCGAGCCTCTTCCGCTAAAAGCTAGGCGGGCTACGCACATCTTTAATTAGGGAGACAGGGCACAGGAAGGCCGGGCCTCAGGCGGCCGAGGTGGTCGAAGCCCAGGGGTGCAGGCGGTGCAACATCGCAAAACAAACAAATCACGACCGCACCCCCGGACCCCATATCTCTCTGTGTCACTGTACGAGCCGGATGGACCTGTGCGGGTCCCCGGGCCCGAAGGTGCGCGAAAGCGCCCGGCTCGAACACAAAAGTGAGTCGCCAGGAGCTCAGAGGTTCGGGCCGATCCGAGAAGCCGCGCGGACCGCCGACAGTTCCTGCTTTATGTCACCTGTTCCCCGATGAGGGGCCTGGGCCGGACGGGGCTGGGACGAGGACGAATCCGTTCCAGAGCGTTCCAGGACGCTCTCAGAGCGTTCTGGAACGCTGTGAGAGGGCCGCGGCGCCCAAGACATCCTCCAGAGCGGCTGGGTCTCAGAGATTCTCGAATTGTTCGACTGGGGGGGGGTAAATGTCAAGCAGTGGCGAGGCGTCCTGGTGTGCCTATACGTAGGCATACCAGGAAATATTCTAAGAACTTTGCTTGTGGTTTCTGCAACATGCTGTTCGAATGCTTTTGGCTGGGACTGTGCTGCTCGGTTGTTAGAAAATTTGTGCGTTCTCCGAACATGTCGTGGTGGTCCTATAGGAATGCTGGGACGGCCGGTCCCTGCTCAAGAATAGCGGGGCAGCGAGGGCTGCCGAAAAGGAGCCCTTGAGGGCCCCTGAAGGGGGCCCTTTTGGGCCCCAGAGGGAGCCTTGAGAGCCCGACAAAGGCACCTTCGCCCCCCCCCCTCCTTTTATACCCCCCCACCACGAATTCGCGCCCAACTTTCTTAGACGCACCTCGCCTTCCAGGACACCCTCCAATACCTTTAGGACCCCAGAGGGGACCTTCATGGCCCGTCAAGGGGCCCTTTAGGGACCCAGAGGTGGCCTTTGTGGCCAGAAAAGGACATCTGTCTCCCCCCCGTTTATCGCCCCCCAAAAAAACAAGCGCGCAACGCTGGAGGCCTGGACTTCTCTGAAGGCCGTCCTCCCCTCGGCGAACCACCGCCCTCTCGCGGTGCGCACCGCCGAGGTTGGCGCGGTATCCGCGTCCTCGGCCTCCGTGGGCGCGGCCGGGGCCGCCGGCGCCGGCGCCGAGGCCGTGCCGAGGGGGGCATCGCTCGGACGTGTGCGTCTTTGGTCGGAGGAGGAGAAGGTACCCATACCGTTACCTTTGCCTCGTCTTCTTGTCTTAGGGCCTCCTGGGAGGCCCTCGTTGCCACCGCTGGATTTGCTTTGAAATTGTGGTCAGAACGCATCCAAGGAGAGGTCCGGGGAGTAGCGTTATCGGCACCTTTTGGTTTCCCCGTTTGGGGTGGCGGCAGGGTCCATCGAGGACCATCCTGGACCATCTTGCGAAACATACGCGCACGGTATCGAGAAATACACGGGGAATGGACGTCCGAGCGATGCCGAGTGCTCCGATCCGTGGATCTGGCGCCGACGCGCAAGATCCACGGGCCCCTGATCCACGCTGGGCATGCGCCCGAATGTCCCACCGGCTTCGGAGACGCACGCCGCCTTCTGAGACGGCCCCTGGCCACGCGCAGAAGGGGGTAGGGGGAGGGGGGAAGGCTTCTTAGAAGCACCCGTACTTCTTAGAAGGCGCGGGCCTTCTTTTAAGATGTAAGGCCGGCGCCTTCTAAGAAGCAGCCTCCTTCTAAGAAGCATTCCCCCCTCCCCCTACCCCCTTTGTGCGCGCCGCCAAGCCTCTCCGAGGTCTGGCTTCGCGAGGAAGCGTGAGACGTCGTCAGCAATCACGACCTGTGTCCCAGACCCCATCGTTCTGCGGCATTTCCCCCTCCTCCTCCTCCTCCTCCTCCTCCGCCTCCTCCTCTTCATCCTCTCCCTCCCCCGCCTCCTCCTCCTCCTCCTCCTCCTCCTCCTCCTCCTCCTCCTCTTCCTCCTCCTCCTCCTCCTCCTCCTGAGCCGCATCGATCCGTGAAGGCCCCTTGACCCGCATCTCTGGGCCTCGCTCCGAGGCTCGCGCCGCATCGCCGCTGCATCGGGGATGCGGCTCGATGTCACCACCCACCAGACCACCCCAACCCAACCCGAAGGCTCAGATTTACCCTCGATTTCCAGTGGGGGGGCTGTCGGGAGACATCGAAAAAACACATGTGGAACCCTTACCCCCCCCCCAACCCGAAATTCGGGTCTTCGGGTTGGGTTGGGGTGGTCTGGTAGGTAGTCACGATGTTGAGCCCGATGTTCTCCATGTCGGCGTCGCCGATGCATCGCCGAAGCCGCCAGAGCATCACCGATGCATCGCCGATGTATCGGCGATGCGGCGGGATCCTCCAGCCCCAGCTGCGCGGACCCCATCTGGGAGGCGTCCAGGATCGGAGCGAGCTCGCCCGGCGCGACAGAATTGGGACAACCAGGACCCCTGGGCTTCTTGGAGGTCCACCCCCCCTCGGCGCCACCACCCTCGTGGTGCGTGCCGCCGAGGTTGGTGCGGCCAGGCCCTCGGCCGCCGCGGCGTCTGAGCCCCTTCGGCCGCCGAAGGGGCAGCCGAACGGGGTTCGCTTCGACAGGGTCGAAGGAGCTGAGCCCGTTCGGCCGCGTCGTGGGCTCGTTCGTGAGTGCGCTCGGCGGCCGACGGGGCTCAGACGCCGAACATGCCCAGAAGGGAAGCCTGGAGCCGTCGGGCCTTTGCACTTCCTCGCAGGGGCAGCGGCGCGAAAGATGGGGATGTCAAGCAGTGGCGAAGCGTCCTGGCTCGCCTATAGCCCCACAAACACATGTTCTAAGAACCTGTGGTGGTCAGCACGAAATGTGTTTTAAAACATCTCTTGCTGAGACTGTCCTGTTTTAACACATCGGGCTCATGTTCTACGAACATGCTTTTGGTAAGAAGAACACTTCTGGGTTCTGAGAACAACTCGTGGTCGTCCTGTAGGAATGCCGGGACGGTCGGTCCCTTCTCAAGGATGTGGGTCGAGCAAGAGTGAGAGTAAGAGTTCCAGGACAGTGCCCCATCTACACTACATCAACATGGGAGCCCCTGAAGTGCTCGCTTGGCCGTCTGAGTCTTCCTACAGACCTTCGACCACAGCCCCGCCTGAATTCTACCACGACCTATCACTCTGGTGGGCACGGCCTTCTCGAGGCACCTCTGACCCATCCCTACTAGTTGCCGCCCACTAGGCCACACGCTGAGCAAAACCTTGGCATCGCTCGGGCGTGTGCATGTGTTCTCGGCGAGAACCATCGAGGACCATCCTGGACCATCGGGCAGAAAAAACATGCACGCAACCGACAAATGCACGGGACATGGACGTCCGACCGACGGCACGAAACCACACGCCAACATCCTGGGGAGGAGAGGGGGCGGGGCGCGGGACAGGCTGGGCGCGCTCGCGCCCATGCCTGACCTCGTGCCCCTGCCGCCCGCCCCTCCTCGTGGCGCTGACTGCTCCTCTGCCCGCGCACGCGTGCCGTGCGGAACTCCGAGGAGGAGGAGGAGGAGGAGGAGGAGCAGGAGGAGGACAGGAGGAGGAGCGAGGCGGAGCGAGGAGGAGCAGGAGCAAGAAGAGAAAAGAAGAAGAGGGATAAGGTAGGTGTGAGGAGGGAGGAGGAGGAGGAGGAGGAGGAGGAGAGGAGGAGGAGGGGAGGAGGAGGAGGGGAGGAGGAGGGGCCTCGTGCGCGCCCGCCGAGGACGGCGCGGCCGCGCCCTCGGCCGCCGGGGGCCCGGCGGGGGCCGCCGAGGCGGGCGCCGAGGCCGCGGCGCGTCCGGGCGCGGCCGGCGGGCCGACGGGCGGAGCGGGTGCAGGCGGGGCCCTGCGCCAGGCGGGGGGGCGCCCGAAATGGGCACGGAAAGGATTGGTACAATGCCCAACAGCGGATCTAGTTCATTTTGAACAGGGCTCGTTGTCCACACCGCCGCGGCCTGTGTCCATTCGAGACAGAGGGCCGCCCGCCCAACAGCGGCCGCTGTTGGTTTGGGACAACATTTGTTGTTGGGCATTGTACCAATTCTTTCCGTACCTATTTCGGGCGCCCAAACAGGCGGGGGGCGCCCCCGGGCCGGGCGCCGCCAGCTCGCAGGCGCCGCTACTGTGGTTCCCAAAGGGGCGGCAGGGGAGAGGGGACTGTTGAGGCGGCCGCTGCGGAGGTCTCGCGGCTTCGCCCACAAGGTCGCTGCACGACGTACCAGCAGTGTGGGACGGAAGGGAGGGGTCTCAAGCAGTGGCGAAGCACCCCACCCTGCTTAGACAGGCCCGCCCAATGAATGTGTTGAGAACCCTCTGTGGGTTGCACGGGGCGCTCTTAGGTAGAACACTTCTGGCTCGGGCCGTCTTGGTGTCATGCATTGATCTTCTGTGTTAAGAGCACTGTTTTTGCGCGCTTGGAACATGATTTGGTCAGCCGGTCGGTCGGTCCCTGCTCAAGTGTCAGAGGTCACCGACCAATGACAACTATCACAGCGCTTGCCTGGAGCGGGGAGGCATTTGGTCGACTAATCGGCTCCATGGGGCGCGCTGGGCCTCAATGTTGGGGCTCCATGCTGGCGCTGGATGAGATTCGGAAGTCAGAGGCCGCCGCTGGATGTATCCCCTTCCGGGGGCCGGCTATGTGTCCAAGGTTTGAGGCGGTATAGCAGTACATGGATCAGTTGGGAGCCGCCCTGCGCATGAAGGTGTCGCGGTCTCTTCGGCAGCGCCCCCGCGCAAGCAAGAGACAGGCCAGAGCAAACAAAAAAGTGGTACCTCCTGCAGGGCCCCCCGATAGCTCGGCAGATATAGCGTCATCGCGGCACTGGAGGAAACAACAGACGAAGGATCCTGCGATGTGCTCGCAGGACCCCTTCGAGCGGAGAGTTGGTGCCATTTACTTGGACACTTGGGAAGCTTCTGGCGGGAGTGTGTTCTGAAAGCAGATAATGCTACCGCAGTCGAGACCTGGTTCGGCGCAGCAATGTCCGACGCTCTTTACAAGAACATACAAAACACTGGCGAACCTAGTTAGCGGACGGAAGAATGTATAACATATGTGTCCCCGCGTCGTTTGTGCCGACGCGCGGACTTGCGTCTTGAGGAGGGCGCCGCGGCCGCCAAGGTAAACGCCGCCTCTGGCGCGGTTAGTTTGCAGTGGGTTTCCCGCGGTGCCAGCTGCGTCACCTTGGGGCGCGGGACGCAAGCGTTGCCGTGGGTTTGCCGTTGTGTCGGCGTCGTCCATTTGGGCGCGTGGAGAACAAACGGCGCGGCGACATGTGCGGTTCAGGAGGGGAAAAAACCCACAGACACAATGAATCCCCGATTTTCAAGAAAATATGCAAAACTATGGGAAGTGGGGGGGAAGACAACAAAACCAAAAATACATTAAAATATGGGGAATCGTTCCATTTGTGTGTATTTATGTGTGTGTCCTGGGGCCCCTTCAGTGGCTTCCGCCACCCGAAAATGCCCGCGCCGTGGAACAATCACGACAGAACGTTGTTGGCCTCCGCGGCCCTCGCAGGGCCTGTCAAACAGTGCATTCCGGATGAAGAGCCAGCCTTGGGGAACGAGCCGGGACCCTCTTGGGACTTTTTTTGTTTTTTTGCGAAATCAGGACGTTGGATGTCTGGGGAGGTTCGGGGTTCGAGGTTCTGGACGGGTTCTTGTGTTCTCGACGGTGTTCTAGCCTCGGGGTGCTTTCCCGCAGCTGCGCCTCTCCGAGGGCGTTCCAGGGAGATGCCCGGACCGTCTTGAGCGACGCGCCGGAGGCCTGAGTTCGGAGCCGAAAGCGAGACGATACAATTTGAGGGGGATGGAGGAAGGAAGAGGCGTACAGAACCTGCTGCGTGCAGCCACTTTCGGCCCCGCCGGCCAGGCGCCTTCCTCCCCCTAGAGTCCCCTTCTGAGCAAGATCGGCGTTTGATCCCACTCGGCCGCCGAACGGACCCAAGATCAAGCCCATTCGGCGGCCGAGCGGGCTCAGCTCCTTTCGGAGGTGGACAGAACCCCAACAGTGACACGTCGATTAGTGAATTGTCCGTTTTCGGTTCTCGAGAGGGCGCCGTGGCCGTTATTTTCCAGGCTTGCGCCCGCCAGGTTTGGGCCCCAGGTCGTTTTCACTAAACCACGTTTTGCTAAAGGGAGGTCTGTCCATCCCCGATCCTTCGGCCCGGTCTGAGCTGGCTGCCCGTGCGGCTGCCCAGTGGGGACCGCACGGGCTCACTCGGAGAGCCCGTGCGGCTGCTGGGGCAGTCCGAAGGTGGCCGCCCGCGGCGGGGGCGGCGACGGCCGCCCGGGCGGGGGCGCCCTGGGGCGGCCGGACGTCGCCAAGCCGAAGTCGCTGAAGGCCGCGGAGCAGGCGAAGAAGCAGGAGACGGGGCCATCCCAGGGCTCATTTCGACTCCTCCGATTCGATTCGATTCGATTTCGATGGCTTCCGATTCCGATTCGATTCGACTTGGGATTCCGATTCGGATTCCGACTTCTTATGGGACGCATAGTAGCCTGCCGATTTCCGCCGATCCGACTTTTCCCGACTCGGCTGCCGATTTCCGCCGATCCGATTCATGTCGATCGCCGATCCGACTTCACGATTCGATTATGGGCTCTCCGGCCATCCGGAAGGCCAACTACCGAGGCCAACGGCTGGTGCCAGCTCGCCCTCTTCCGATGCCCCCTGGGGGGGGGGGAGGGGTCGCGACTTTTTGCGTGCACTGACCGCGCACTGACCCTGAGATCTGACATGGCGAACAAAAAATGCAACATCGTACAAATTCACGCCCGTCGCCCTAGACCCCACATCTTCCTGCGCCATCTTTCGAGCTGGATCGATCTGCGAGGGGCGAAAACGCCCGGCTCGAAAAAATGAAAGCGGCAAGGACGGCGCACCGAAGAAGCGGCCAGGACGGCGCAGGTCACCGCGCCTCGCGCGCGCCGCCTGGCCCAGGCCATGACGACGGTTGCCCAGCTCCAAGGGGCGGCGGCATCGCTCAGGACGGGTGCACCTTTTCATCTCGGAGAGGACAATCTTGAGGAGGAAGGTGGGGGGAGGAGGAGGAGGGGGGGAGCAGGAGGAGGAGGGGAGGGAGGAGGGGAGGAGGGAGGAGAGGAGGAGGAGGAGGGGGAGGAGGAGGGAGGAGGAGGAGGAGGAGAAGGAGGAGGAGGAGGGAGGGGAGGAGGAGGAGGGAGGAGGAGGGAGGAGGACGAGGAGGAGGAGGAGGAAAGCTTCGACTGGGCGCCACGGCCTGCCCGCGCGCCAGGGCCTTTTCGGCGAGGGGGTGCTCTCTGCGCGCTGCCCCTGGCGGGCGTGCCGCGTCTGCGGCCTCATCGGAGGCGCGGCTCGTGGCCGCCCGGGGCTGCCTGTGCCCCGGGGGCCCTCGGGCCGCGCGGCCCTCCTCCTCCTCCTCCTCCTCCTCCTCCTCCTCCTCCCCCTCCTTTTCCTCCTCCTTTCCTCCCCTCTCCTTCCTCCTCCTCCTCCTCCTCCTCTCCTCCTCCCTCCTCCTCCCTCCTCCTCCTCCTCCTCCTTGTCTCGTCCTGCCAGCATCCAAACACATCCTCCTCCTCCTCCTCCTCCTCCTCCTCCTCCCTCCTCCTCCCTCCCTCCCTCCTCCTACCTCCTCCCTCCGCCCTCCCTCCTTCCCTCCTTCCCTCCCTCCCCTCACCTTCCTCCTTCTCCTCCTCCTTCTCCTTCTCCACCTCCTCCTCCTCCAACGACTCGTTGGGGGTAAATGTTAAACGCAGCCGTTGTGGAGCAGATTCGGAAACAGGCGCATTCAGGAGGCTCGGCAAGGATTGCCTCATGGAGTTCACGTCCACTGCAGCGCGGTACTCCTGGGACCGTTTAATTCGTGGGCAAAACCCGAACTCAAAGGTTTGCCCTGCAGTTTGCCTGGGCGAGTACCTCCCTGTCTCCTCCTTCCTCTGAGTCTCTGGTCGCTCTGAAGCGCCTGTCGCTCCCAACGTCACTCGTCCGTCGCTGTCACCACGTGCATGACACATTTCATTACTGGTTCCCGTCCGTAGGTCCCGATGCGCTCCAGGGTAAAATCAAGGTCCACATCAACAACACCATACGTAGTGCAAGCTATCGTGTCTCACGGCCCTGTTGCTTGGATTTTAGCTTTCGACACTTCACCCCCAAGGTATCGGCCACGCGGCCGGGACAGACGCAACACCACATACCAGAGCAACCAGTTGCTGCGGCCATTTTGGATTTACTGTTGGATGTACTAGCGTATCCGTGAGTCCATGCCGCACTTCGCCCCAGAGTAGGAGCGCACTTTTTGCTCATTCGAACGACCACAAATCGTCAGCACGGGAACCTGTAACTACCCAGATTTTAGGCGTACCGTTCCATCCGCTATCCCCCCACGCCACGCAAGGCGCTGCAAATGTCACGGGAACTGCGGCGCAGCAGGCGTTGAAATTGTTACAGCAGTTTGCGCCCAAACCAGCGTGAAAATTGTTAAAGCAGTTTTATCGCGCGCATGGGGTGCGCATGCCGTGTGATGCAGCACAGCACATTACATTGGACACTTAGGTCTGACACGCGTCTTCCATCGATCCAACGAGAAGTTGTTGGGCTCTGGGGAGGTCCAGTTCTTCATATCAATCCCAGGGTGGCCTGCTGTGGCGCAGGTCCCCCTGTCAACCCTGGGATGGAGATGGCCGCAGGCCAGATCACCTGGGGTTGAGGCGCTCCTTAAGCCATATCACTTCAAGTCCTCCTCCTCCTCTTCCCCCTCCTCCTCCCCCTCCTCCTCCTCCTCCTCCTCCTTCCTCCTAGCTCCTCCTCCGCCCTCCCTCCCTCCCTCCCTCCCTCCTTCCCTTTGCCTCCGTGTCTTCGGGCCGGGCGAGGTCGTCCGGTGTCGAGCCCTGCCCAGAGATCCGAGGATCTGTTTTGTTGTTCTATCGGGCGGTTTCTCTTGGACTTCTGTCTCCATGGGGCCCGCGGAGTCCCCCTGAGATTCTGTCCCTGGAATCCAGGAGAAGTCCTCCATGTCCCCCTCCGTGAGATTTTTCTGGACGTCCCAGGGGTGTTTTTTTGTCCTGGACTTCGGCCTCCATGGAGCCATTTGTGAGGGCCCCCATGGTTGCCCGGGGGGCCCTCACAAATGGCTCCAGGGCGAAAAAACACTCCTGGGAAAGGGGTCGGGACCTCTGGGGCCGCGGATGGAACAAGTCGTATCGGCGGAGGCCTGGGCGGGGCCCTCACACATCGACAAAGGCGGCGCCGAACAGGTTTTTGTCATGCAGCTCTTCTTCTTATGCTGTTTCTTCTTTTTCTGCTGCTTGGTACTCTTCTTCTAGATGGGTTGACTCCTTGTCCTTCCGTTGCAGTTGGCCTGTTTGTTCAGTCGAGTAGAGGATCGACTACAGAATTGGTGGACCCCATCATTAACTTGTCCCATCGAGTCTGCGACAAATTCGCAGAACTGGCGTCGATTATATTCGGGGAGTTGGCGAGAAATTCTGTTTCGGGGCAAAACAGTTCTGTGGTCGATCCAGAACTCGATTCGCATCTTTCCATCCGGGTGGCTCTCGGGCCAACCAAGTTCTATTTTGGGGTCCAACAAGTCTGTAGTCGGTCCCCAACTCGATTCGTGCTTCTCCCATCGGGTGGCTATCGGGTCAACCACTTCTGTAGTCGATCCCCTTCTCGACTCGTACGTTTCACACCGGTGTGTGGCTTGGCACGCCCTGGTTCTGGAGGACCGCGCTCCGAGCGGAGAGGGCACGCCGACTCCCGCCTCTCCAGTCCTCGCGGGGGGCCCTCGGGGGTGGGCCTGTTTTCCACCACCACCACCACCACCACCACCATAAGTAGGAGAGAGAGGAGGAGGAGGAGGAGGAGGAGGAGGAGGAGGAGGAGGAGGAAGAGGAGGAGGACCCCCTCCCCCTCCAACTTATGTTGATGGTGGTGCAAAACAGGCCCATCATCGGGGGTGGGCCGCGCGAGGGCACAATCGAGGGAATGGAGGCGATCGATTGGCCGGTGAGTTCAGCGCTGGTCCATTCAGCTTAACCTCAGGAGGCGAAAAGGTACCCATACCTCTACCCGTTCCTCGTTTCCCCCTTTTTGGGCCTCCTCGGAGGCTATCGGCGCCACCGTCAGAACGCACCCTGGGAGAGGTCTGGGGAGTAGCCGTATCGGTACCTTTTGGTCTCCCCAATGCAGCTTAACCCAGCTGAGAAACATTGCAGGCTTCGGGTTGGAAGGGCGGGGATTCGGGCAAGCCCTGGACGAGGAGGAATCGCTCCAGAGCCACAGCGCTCTGGCCCGCTCTCATCAGGGCGGTCTGGACCGGCCCGATCCACCCTTCAGACCCGCCAGATTTCAGAGATTCATGGTGGATCCTCTTCCAGCTTGTTCCTCATCCTGATTGCGTCCCAGTGGTGCATTGCATAATCTTGGCAGACCACAGCCTTCGACTGAGGAGGCCCTGCCAGCCTCACGTGCAAATCTCGCCAGTTGCGGGTCTGAGCTGTTATCGAAAGCGTCAATGCCCCGTCCCTGGGCTGGCTCTTTTCAGAAGCCGCGTAGGGCCCCCCCAGAGAAGCAGAGCGAAGAGGGGGAGGAGGGGAAGGAGGAGGAGGATGATGATGAGGAAGAGGAGGAGGAGGAAGAGGAGGAGGAGGAGGAGGAGGAGGAGGAGGAGGAGGAGGCCCCCCGACGCTTCAACAGGGCGCCAGGCAGCCCCCAGAGGCTGTCGAGGCGGAGGCGGCTGACGAAGTGCCCACGGCAGCGTCGTGAGGAGTGCTGCGTGCGCCCAGAAGTTGGAGCCCCGACTCGGCCCGAGGGACCTCCCGACCGGCTACAAGGAGACCCCATGAGCCCTACAGCTTTGTGTGCTCCAGCCGCGGCAGGCGGGCGCCACTTCGCGCGCGTGTCTACCCAGGGCGTGAGGTGCTTGTTCCTTGCGCTTGGTAGGGACATCTCCCGACCTTCGCTCCAGCAGAACCTGTCGAGGCCGTAACTGCATGCCCGCAGTATAAAATCGCCTTTCTCCAAAGCAGTTGGTATCAACGATGCTCACAGAAGATCCCGCACATGTAGGAAATCATTACGAGGCGTGGAGCGGATTGGACCCAGGGCAGCGTGTGGCCGAGCCGCGGGGATCTCTCGCCCTCAAGGCCCAACCAAAAACATATGTTTCTCGAACACGGAACTACAAGGCCAGGGGGGCTGTTCGGGCGCATCCCCATCGAGGACGGACGCGCCCCAGGACCGTACCTCCTTGGGGCAGAGCCCCAGATCTCTTGTCTTGTGACAAGTCACACGAGCACGGTGAGTGGGGTCGCTATGCCCCCCCGCCCCCGTTACCTTCCTTTCCCAGCTGACGATGGCTGGAAAGGCACGTGGGCAGCCTACCGATCAGTCGGGGCAGGGGTGTCAGCGACATGCGTGTCTCCTCAGTGGTTAGTCAAACGAGACGCGCGCATGGGCTCCCATCGTCGGCCACCCCTGAGATCCGACGTCGCTCCAAGTTGAGTGGAAAGGCCTCGTGCGAAAAACAACGAGACAACCGGATCTTATTGACGGTGTGCCCGCGAGCATTGATAATGGAATCGTGCTATTCGCTTTCCGGGCCCAGCCCTTGCAAAGAGTGCGCCCACATCATGTCTCACAGTCCTCCTTACGGTCTGTGTTTCTGGCTCGTTGGCCTTCAATGTTCACAGCATTTTCCCATGATTATTCTGATCGATACAGTTAGACGGTTGATAATTCAATGCGTGCGCAAACAAGCTTAGGGAATGACCCCCCCGCCATCAACCTCAACATTGAAAGTCAGCGGTCGCGATGGATAGGGATCGTCATCTGTTCTGTCGCTATTCCAATGCTAATAGTCGGGGCCCAGGAGTGGAGAGAAGGGGGGGGGGGGCGACATCCCTTCGGCTCGCTGTCCAGCCCAAGCGGTGCGTGAGCCACAGGCCACAGGCCATCAACTGGAGCAGAATGTGGAATGCATCAGAGAGCATGCACGAGAAGCAGAAACAAACGATCTCTAGAATGTGTTAGACTCGTTTTCTATGACCAATTTCTCTGATGCCGAGTAGGTTCGCCGAAGATAGCGCGAGCGAGAAGCCATAGCCAGGGCTCACGTTCACTGTTGTGCAGCTAAATCATCACATGAATCAGGCGGCATGCGGGCGGGATCCTATATCGTTCAGGACATCCAGAAATATTCGAAACATGCTTAATCATAGAACCTATGTTTCCAATCTCGAGCTTATGGACTGCATCCCAGAAATAATTTCGAGCACCCGGGAAAAGTGTCGACACAGTGTCGAACGAGTGTCTTCCAGACCCGACACGTGCAAACCCAAGAGTTTCGGTATTTTCTTGGTGTTCGAAATTCTTTCGGGTGGTTCCGGCTAAAGTAGGCTGGAACATCATAATGCAAGCATCCTTCATTCAACAAGAGCTCGAAGGTTGTCTTTCGTTGCGGTCTGGAGCGTTTGCTCTGCGTGTCGTGCCGCCCGCCCGCCCTGGCCCACCGTGAGCCGCCGCGACGCACCGAGCACGCCACGGCCCCCCAGGCAGCAGTGCTCCGAGCTATCGTCCCAAGGCGCAGAGCGACACGCCGGCAGTTCGAGAGGTGATTTTGTTTATGATTGTGTTTAGCCCCGGGTGGCCCCAGGGACCCACAAAAGCTTGGAGGAGGAGGAGGAGGAGGAGAGGGAGGAGGAGAAGGAGGAGGAGGACTAGAGGAGGAGGAGGAGGAGGAGGAGGAGGAGGAGGAGGACGAGGACGAGGACGAGGAGGAGGAGGAGGAGGAGGAGGAGGAGGAGGAGGAGGAGGAGGAGGGGAGGGAGGAGGAGGAGTCACGCTGGGGTCTTCAAAGATCGGTCAAGACCTGGACCTCAAGATTGCGAAGGCCCTGCGGCTGGTGGCGCCGACTTTGACGGACGACGACGACGACGACGACGACAACGACGACTACGACGACGACGACCGCGACGACGACGAGGAGAAGGCGGGGACGCGAGGCACACAACAACTAAACGAACATCCATTAATGTCGCCTCTTGAGGCCCTCATGGGGCCCTCTCAGGGGTTCGCTTGGACCCCTTTCGGGGCGTCTTGATGTTTTATGAGGCCGTCGTGAGGGTATTTTAGGCCTGCCTGGAGCGATCCTAGACTGTCTCAGGGCCCTCTCGGAGCAAGCCGCGGCACAGGTGAACTTGAGGCAACTGGAATGCAAGACTTCGTACTTTCGGACCGAGGTATAAGATCGAGGTCGGTTCGGGGAGGGTACCTTAGTGTTATCCGTGGTAGTTGGCTGTTCTTGCGCATCCTGCGGGGAGCACCCTTGGCTGTTCTGTGTGGTTTGACCGGCGGAGGGTATTGTGTTCTTGAGGGATGCTCTCCTGGCCTAGGTCCGACTCTACCGTATGAGTCTGCAGTACAGTCTACCCGCATAGTAAGAGTGCGCGGAATTCAAAGGTTGCCCTTGCATCCTTCCCTTCTGGCCTATCCTTGGCCGCTTTCGCTGGCCGCTCCCCGCTCGCAGAGTGTCGACGTGGCCTTCCAGGGCCCTTACATCCTTATCGCGAGTCCTCATTCTACGGGTTGACTGTACTGTACTACGAGTCCTCATCCTTATCGCGAGCCCTACTTCACCTCGGCCGGGATCCTCTCCTGCTTTCCCCGATGGCTGTGCACCAGGATCCAGCCCCCGTGGCCCCGGGGCCCGATAAGGAGCCCTGCCAAACTCGAGAGAAGACCGTCGGATTGAGAGCTCCACACCGCCGTTGGGCGCGAAGTACTGGGGGAGAAGGAGGAGGAGGAGGAGGAGGAGGAGGAGGAGGAGGAGGAGGAGGAGGAGGGGAAGAAGAGAGGAGGAGGAGGAGGAGGAGGAGGAGGAGGAGGAGGAGGAGGAGGAGGAGGAGGAGGAGGAGGAGGAGGAGAGGAGGAGGAGGAGGAGGAGGAGGAGGAGGAGGAGGAGGAGAGAGGAAGAGAGGAGGGGGAGAGAGGAGAAGGAGGAGGAGGAGGAGGAGGAGGAGGGAGGAGGAGGTGGAAAAGGGACCCTTCTCCTCAGGAGGAGCGGCGCCAGCGCGAGCGCCAGCAGCAGCAGCAGCAGCGCGCGGCCGCCGCCGCCGCGGCGGCCGCCGCGGAGCGCGAGCGCCAGGAGCGGCAGCAGCGCGCCGCGGCGGCCGCGGAGCGCCAGGCCGCCGCCGAGCGCCAGGCCGCCGCGGAGCGCCGGGCCGCCGCGGAGCGCCAGGCCGCCGCGGAGCGCCTGCGGAAGGCCCCTCGTCGAGGACAGAACAATGTGATGGGCCTGTTTTCCACCACCACCACCATAAGTTGGAGGGGGAGGGTTCCTCCTCCTCCTCGTCCTCCACCTCTCTCCTCCTCCTCCTCCTCCTCCTCCTCCTCCTCCTCTTCCTCCTCCTCCTCCTCCACCTTCTTCGTCCCTCCAACTTATGGTGGTGGTGGTGGTGGTGGTGGTGGTGGTGGTGGTGGTGGTGGTGGTGGTGGTGGTGGTGGTGGTGGTGGTGGTGGAAGACAGGCGCATCGAACTGAGCCCCGAGCCTATGTGGCACGAGGAAGACGTGGCCTCCGTCGGGTCCCTTTCTTCGCGTGCGGGGTGAAAAGTTGATGGGGCGGTGAGACGCCCTATCCGTGAGGTCTTGGCGCTCCTGACTCAGGCCCCCTCCCAAAGGGTTTGAGGTTTTTGTTGCGGCCGCCGCGGAGCGTCTGCGGGAGGCCCTCCTCTCATCGAGAACAACATCGGGGAAACGTAAGACTCGAGTGCGCCGGTATTCGTGTCTGCCGGCGCTTTTTGACGAGCGCGCATTGGATTTGTCACGGTCCAGGTTTCGTGGGATGTTTGTCAGCGGGAGTTCGCGTCAAAGTTCAGGCTAGGTCTCGTCAGTTTAATGATGACCCCGTCAGGCCAACCCGAGTCCCCCGAACCCGAGTCTTACGTCTCCCCGACAGAAGAACCCTTACATCTCATAACACAATGAAGACGTGGCCTCAGTCAAGTTCCCTTGTTTGCATCGGGGTGTGGTACATTTGCAGGAAAAGAGACCCCCCTTATCCCTCATGTTTTGGCCATTCTAGCTTAGGTTCCCTCCCAGAGGGTTCGGGGCTTTTTTATTGCTTATCGCCATCCCCTCCTTCCGACGAGGAGAAGTTACCAGTACCGCTACCCTTCCCTCGCCTCGGGGGCCCTGAGACGGCGGTCGATGCAAGCAGGGGCCAGCCAGAGCGAGCGGATCTTGCAGGATCTTGCGAAGCCAGGGCTGCATTGACCTGGGCTGGCGCGCAGGATCCGGCAGGACTTGGCAGGATCCTGGAAAGTTTGACTGAGCCGGGTGTGCATTGACCCGGGTCCGTTGATTTCCGACTGTCGCCACGGCTAGGTCACCTCGAGAGCCTGGCCAGAACGCGCGAGCGGCCATCCTCCCTCCTTGATGGGAAGCAGATGACATCGCGATGATCATGGGGCTCTGCGGTCCGAAGCGTCGCTGCCCCTCCCCCCCTCTTCCCGAGAAGGGAGAGTCGGCATCAGCATGATCTGTCGGGGCATCAGCATGATCTGTCGGGGGTACGCGGCAGATTTCACGGATCGGCGCTGGACCCCTCTTTTAGATCAGGAAGCCTGGCATCGCTCGGACGTGTGCATGTTTCCTTCGGCGAGGACCATCGAGGAACATCCTTGATCGTTTGGCGAAAAAGCCACACACGAAACCGAAAAAAACATAGGGAATGGACGTCCGAGCGATGCCCAGGAGATGGTGCCCGCACCGCAGCCCTTGTCTCGTCGCCACGGCCAGATTCGCCTCGGAATCCTCGTCGGACCGCGCCCCATGTAGGGGCCGCCGCCGTGGAGCAGCGGCGCCGACATCTCTTCGCACGTCCTGCCTCCCCGCCCCCTCTCCCCCTCGGCGGCGCGCCCGGCGTGGCAGTGAGAGGGGGAGGAGGGCTTCTCAGAAGGCGCTGGGGCTTCTCAGAAGCCCTCCTCCCAGAATCTGGCCCCTGACCCTCCACGGGACTGCTGCGTCTGAGAGAGTTTGGCCTCCAGGGCGGGCCTGCGATTGCATCGGGGAGCGCACGCGGACAGCCCACGAGGGCCGCAGTGGTTGCAAACGTCCCGCGGAATCATTCAGGGCACGGCATACTGAGAAGTTTTCAGCGTCCTCGGGGGAGGCTCAGAAAACGTCTTCGGAAGGCCACAGGCCTTCGGGGCCGTCTGAGAAGGCCCGCCCCTTCTGGCTCCAGAACTGCCTTACCCCCCAAGGTTGGTCTCCCTCCGAGTGCACAGCAAACATATAGAATCTCCAGAGACCTGCGAACATTCTACAGTCGAGCACCTTATTAAAAAGCCTCCTCCCGACAAACTGGAGCCGCGTTTCTTGACCAACGTGCCGGGAAGACGGCCCAGCTTATTGAGTGCGCTCGCCCCTCTGGCATTCACAGGAGAAGCTGGCCCTGGATGTTTTGTTTCTATGTATATATACATATTAATAAAAGGCTCCAGGAGGCTGACCCAGATTTCTGAACTGATAGTTCTCTCGATCAGCTGTTCCGCTGTACTACTTTGTCGCAGCTTCGAATATGAGAGATAGACTCCAGAATTTGAGTTGCCCTCCACAATGTATGCTCTTGCCGCCGAATCCGCAAACTCCATGTGGCCCCTTCAAAGACCCACGAGCACCCTGCTCATGTTTTGACGAACCACCAACACACTCATACCCATAGGGGATCGGAGAGGTCTATGGGTGCGTGTTGTCGGATGCGGGTCCCCGCTCGAACGGGAGCGTTCCCCAGGGTCCGACAACCCGCACCCATACCCATAGCCAGTCCTCCTCCCAACGACCCCCTATGGGTATGGGTGCGTGTTGTCCGTTCGTCATGTTTCGCAGCTTCGCCGCCGGCCCCCGCCGGCAGGGCGCCGGCCCCGCCGGCACGCCCAGCGGCGCCAGCGGCCTGTGGGCACCGCGGCAGCAGCCGAAGGCGGGCCCCGCGTGCGCCACGGGGGCGCCTCCGCCGCTCGGGTATCGGGCGAGCGCCGGGGGCGCCCGAGAGGTAAGGTCTAGGGGAACAAAAAAAAACATAAACATAAAAACTCGGAGGTCAGAGTTTTTATGTTCATGTCACTTGTTGTTCCCCTGAGGAATACCCAAAAATAGTCAAACCATTGTCAGGGGGCGAGGTTCCAGCCACGTTTTTGAGTATGTGGGAATCGATTTCTGAGCAGTGTTCAGTTGTCGTCCAAGATCTGCGTGTAGGAGGACATGCCCGACCTGACCCGAGAGCCAGAGCCTCACCGAGCCCCACAGCATTTCGGGTCCATTCGAAATTCCCACGAAACTTTGGATAGGAGTCGACATATGCCGTGTTATCGGAGGCCTAGAGGTTGACACCAACACCAAGTTCTAGGGGAACGAACAAGGACATAAACGTGAAACATCGGAGGTCTGCGCGGATTTCTCTGATCGGCCCTGGACCACTCTCTCTGGCGCGCGGAGCGCGCCAGGGGCGGCGCTGGAGGCGCCGCCAGGGGGCCCCAGCACGAATCCGAGAAATCTACGCGGGCCTCCGAGTTACTACGTTTATGCCATTCGTCGTTCCCCTATAGAGGTCAACACCGACACCAATATCAGCAGTGTGCCTCCACCAAGGACAGGTGATCCTGGTTTCGGCGATGGTGGTAATATTTGTGCTAATTCCCTGGATGGCCGAACTATGAACACCAACGCCAACATCTAGGATCATCCCTGGTGGAGGCACTCCCCTGTTCTAGTGTTGGTGCACGTTTTCAGGCTTCCAATGTTATCCCTCTTTCCCCTCTCCCGTCTCCCCTCGCGCGCCCCCCGGTGCCGCGCACCAAAGGTCACCCCAAGGGAGGGTCAACCTCCTCCTCCTCCTCCTCCTCCTCCTCCTCCTCCTCCTTCTCATTCTCTGCCTCCTCCTCTGCCTCCTCCTCCTCCTTCTCCTCCTCCTCCTCCTCCTCCTCCTCCTCCTCCTCCTTCTCCTCCTCCTCCTCCTCCTCCCCTCCTTCTCCATTCTTTTCTTTCAACCAACTTTTCCCTGTCGCACACCGATGCCAGTTTTTAGGGCGGTCCGGGCGTTTGGCCTAAGACCTCCTCACTACATATGACCCTGCAGCACTGCCCCCATCGCGAGTGCTGCCGTCGATCCCCTATGGGTGGACCCAGCTTCCCCGTGCTGCGTGAGCTGGAGCCGCCGTCGCGCTCCCGCCTCCCCTCGCCGGCGAGCGAGGGGAGGCCCTCGCAGAAGGCGGCGGGGCTTCTCGGAAGCCCTCGCGCGCCTGCTGAGGCTCGTTCTGCGTCTTCGGGGAACGCCTCGTGAACTCTTCAGAAGGCCGAGGGGCTCCCGAGCCTTCTGAGAAGGCCCGCTCCTCCTCGCTTCCCCCCTGGGCGCGCCTCCGAACTACTTGCAAAGCGCCTGTTCGCAAAACTCCAAAAAACAAGTGTGCCTCGATGCAATGGATCGTGATTCCCCCGCTGCAGATCCAGGCCACTTGTGCGTAGGTACTTCGTGAGTAGCGGACCGCGCTTGTCTAGACCCCTCGCGCCGTGAACAAAAAACAACACTGCGGAAGGTTTTTGGACGTTCTTGTCGGGGGTTGCTGAAGGTGCCCCTGGCCCGAGGAGCCCCCAGCTTTTTTGGTGCAATCTCGGAGCTCCTGGGGCACTCTGGGCCTCGTGAGGTGTGCTCGCGATGCCGTGAGGACCTCCTTGGAAAGGGGACATCTTGGGCCAGGGGCACTTCGAGCAACACCCGATCTTGGCATCCAGGTGGCCTGGCTGGGCCCTGGGGTCGTCAAGGAGCAATCCGGGATGAAACACTGGCCTCCAGGGAAGGGGCCCAGACCTTTGGGAGCCACGCTGTGAAACAATCATGAAATCGGGGTCTGGAAAGGACTATGATGACGGTGTGAAACTCATGACGCGGGTGGGTGAGGACTACAAGGCAGCTGCAGTCATGGAGTCACCTGAACAGGCAGGGCATACGGTTCGTAGGGAGCCCGCAGATTTACGTGACACCCATATTTTTCGGAGTGGAATTTCGTGGAGGCGCTGTGGGTGTGCGTTGTCGGATGAGGGTGCCCGCTCGAACGGGAGCTCTCTCCCCGGGGTCCGACAACTCGCATCCATACCTACAGCGCCTTCATCGCCTTGCCCTTCCCCGCTTCTCCTCCCTAGAGGTTTGAGTGCGCGTTGTTGTTGTTGTTCTTTCATCAGGGGCGCCAACCCCCTTCGCCGACGGCCCCCAGGGGCCGTGGACAGATGAGTGTGGCATGACTGTTCGCTAATTTGTTCCGAGGCCTGTAGGTCGACCCTGCCAAATCAAGGGTATCCTCGTGGAGGATGGAGGAGGAGGAGAAGGAGGAGGAGGAGGAGGAGGAGAAGGAGGAGGAGGAGGAGGAGAAGGAGGAGGAGGAGGAGGCGGAGGAGGAGGGGGGGGGGGAAGAGGGATGAGGAGAGGAGGAGGAGGAGGAGGAGGAGGAGGAGGAGAAGGAGGAGGAGGGAGGAGGAGGAGGAAGAGGAAGAGGAGGAGGAGGAGGAATGGGAGGAGGAGCGAGGAGGAGGAGGAGGAGGAGGAGGAGGAGGAGGAGGCGGAGGGAGAACCAGGAGCGCGGCCGCGCCCCGGGGGGGAGGTGAGAAGGGGCCGGCCTCGCGGGCTTTCTCACAAGGCTGAGAATGAGGGGTTAAGGACGGATGAGGCGGAGAGAGAGAGGAGGAGGAGGAGGAGGTGGAGGATGAGGGGGAGGGAGGGGGAGGAGGAGGAGGAGGAGGAGGAGGAGGAGGAGGAGGAGGAGGAGGAGGAAGGTGGAGGAGGAAGGAAGGGAAGGAGGGAGGGAGGGAGGGAAAGAGGGCGGAGGAGGAGGAGGAGGAGGGAGGGAGGGAGGGAGGGAGGAGGGAGGGAGGGAGGGAGGAGGGAGGAGGAGGCAGGAGGAGGAGCAGGAGCAGGAGGGGGAGGAGGAGGAGGAGAGGAGGAGGAGGAGGAGGAGGAGGAGGAGGAGGAGGTAGGAGGAGGAGAGGAGGAGGAGGAGGAGGAGGAGGAGGAGGAGGAGGAGGAGGAGGGAGGAGGGGAGGAGGAGGAGGGGGGGACGAGGAGGAGGGGGGGGACGACGAGGAGAGGAGGGGGGACGAGGAGGAGGAGGAGGTGGAGGAGAAGGAGAAGGAGTAGGAGGAGGAGGGGGGGGACGAGGAGGAGGACGAGGAGGGACGGTGGACGAGGAGGGGGGAGGTGGGGAGCCGCCGCCGGAAGCCTGGAGAGGCCGGCGCCGCGGGCCAGTCGGCGCCCCAGCCCGCCTCAAGGGTCAGGGGGCCGAGCCTGCCGCCCAAGAATGCCGAGGACCGCGCAGGGGCCAACGATCGAGACAGGATCCTCCCTCCGTGTCCTCGTTTCCCCATCTCTTCCCCCTCGCAGGCGATTTCTCTCCCCTGAGATCCTGGCGGCTTGTTTTTTTTTCGAGCCTTCCCCCCTCTGTCAATGAAAGCTGTGCGCGGCCCGCTTATCGGCACGCGCAGAGGGGGGTAGGGGGAGGGGGGAAGACTTCTTAGAGGCACCCCTGCTTCTCAGAAGGCGCGGTCCTTATGTATAGATGTAAGGCCGCCGCCTCCTAAGAAGCAGCCTCCTTCTAAGAAGCCTTCCCCCCTCCCTCCACTCCCTTCTGCGCGCCGCCAAGCTTAGCTTCGACCGGAAGAGGTGCGCTCTCGATCCGCGGATCAAACATTTATTGTAGTGGCCTTCGGCCAGTGCCGCCGATCCGGGGCGCTCCGACTGATGTGATCCTTATTCGCCCTCGTCCCTCCTCTCTTTTTCCCTCCCCTCCTCTCACTCAGCATTTATCCAGTGGCCGTCGGCCTATCCCGCCACCGTGCGTGGGTGGTGGGTCAGAGGCCTCATGGATGCTGGTTGGGATCTCGTGGTTGGCTGGGACTTCTGGGGGCCTCTTGGGCGCCTCTTGGGGCTTCTTGGGGGCCTCTTGGGCCTCTTGGGGCCACTAGAGGGCCTCTTGGGGGTCTCTTGGGAGCCTCTTGGGGCTTCTTGGGGGCCTCTTCTGCGCCCCTTGGGGCCTCTTGGAGGCCTCCTCGGAGCCTCTTGGTGCGGGAGGGGTGGTACTCGAGTTCGGAACCCCCTCGGAGGCCACGATCCTTGTAAGGGGTGTCAAAAAACGCATCCGCCGGAAACTCGCACCCCCCACCCCCACCCCACCCTCCCTTCCCCGGCAGAGCCACCCCGGCAACCCCCCCAGAGGCTGAGGCTCAGCCTCGAGGCTGTAGCTGAGACTCCTTGAAACTCACACGCCGGATCGGCGGATTTTCGAGCTGTGCGTTTTCGCTTTTTGTCGGCCCCGGGGACCTTCACAGATCGATCCGCCTCGAAAAATAAGGCAGGAGGAGGGGGTCGAGGGTTCCAGGCGCGATGGTGCATTATTTTCGCTACGTCGGATCTCAGGGTCTCCCAGCCACCGACGTTTCGACGACGAATGAAGCCGCTCAGAAAAGGTGGGAAAACTTGAGATACACCCCAAGTGGGCTATGCGGACGCACCCCTATCGGGGATGGCCGCCCCCCCATCGTATATCCCAGAGTTGGGCCCCGAATTTTGGGTCCATTCGAAAACACCACAGATCCTGGGATGGGGGTCGACATGTCCCCTGCTGTCCCCCTTCCCCCTCTCCCCTCTCCCCTCGCGACTGCCCCCCTCGCGAGTATTGCTATCGATCCCCTATGGGTGGATCCAGCTTCTCCACGCTGCGTGAGCTGGACCAGCCAGCGCGCCGCCGATCCTCGTCTTCCCTCCTCATCCTTCCTCCTCTTTTCCCTCCTTCTCCTCCCTCCTCGCTCCTCCCTCCTTCTCTTGAGCGGAGTACCCCAGACATCTCCATAGGCCCTTCTTCCTTGGCCTCGCTGGGGCTTCCTTCCTTCCCGCCCCCCCTCCCTCCCGCTCCCACCTCCCTCCCTCCCAGTCCCGCCTCCTCTTGCTTGTCCCTTTGGGCGGGGGCCGAGGACAACTACGAGATCTCCGAGGCAGGCGGCGACTCCGACGAGGAGGACCTCCGAGGGACGAAGGGCCCAGATCTTTTGTCTCTCGGTTGCCACGGCTCCCTCCTCCTTGCTCCACCCCGCTCTCACCACTCCTCCCCCTCACCCTCACCCTCCTCCTCCTCCTCCTCCTCCTCCTCCTCCTCCTCCTCCTCCTTCCTCATCCCTCCCCCTCCTCCTCCTCCTCCTCCTCCGTCTCATCCTCCTTCTCCTTCTCCTCCTCTTCTCCTTCTCCTCCTTCTCCTCCTCCTCCTCCTCCTCCTCCTCCTCCTCCTCCTCCTCCTCCTCCCCCTCTTTCTCCTCCTCCTCCTCCTCCTCCTCCTCCTCCTCCTCCTCCTCCTTGTCCCCCTCCTTCCCAGGCTTTGCCCTCATTCATCTACGTATTCCTCCGCCTGATCTTCTGTTTCTCCACCTCCTCCGCCTTCTTCTCCTATTCCTCCTCCTCCTTCCCCCAGCCATTGATCGCTACACTATGTAATCCTTATCTGTGTCGTCTGGGAGTCATCGGTTGATCGTGACTGGAGGCTAAATCAACTAGCCCGTCGAAAAAAAACATGACTCGACAGCTCCGTGTAACCTTGGTGAAGAACCTCTACGCGCGGCCCGTCTGAGGGATGTGCCGAATTCTGCGTGTGGGAGGGACCCATGCAAACTTCCCAACTGCTGCCGTAGGTGCAGCTCACTACGGGGCGCGAAACGTGCGAGGGCATGCCGTGCATGCACATTTTCCCCCTGTGGCCGTAGGTGGGGTGGGGCTCGTGTGAGGGGTGTGCCCCAAGCAGGCAGGGGTACGCATGTAAATGTTCGAACTGAGGCCGTATGTGGAGCCCCCTACATGAGGCAACGATCCTCGTGATAGGTGCGCTGAAATTGGCGGCGCCGCCGTGCGGACCCTTCCACTGTGGCCTTGCATGGGGCTCCCTGTAGGGCCACGAACCTCATGAGGCGTTGCCGAACTGGACGGCGCTGCCAAGCGGGGCCTCCAACTTGGACCGCAAGTAGGTGAAGCTCGCTATGGGTCCTCGTGAGAGGTGCGCCGAACATGGGCGGCGCCGCCATCGGACCCTGTCATTGGGGCCATGTGTGGGGCCCCCATATGACCCCACGATCCTCGTGAGGGGTGCGCTGAAATGGCGGCGCCTCCATGCGGAACCTCCCGCTTGGGCCGTGGGCATGGGGCCACCATCCAAGTGATGAGTATGCCCATATGTGCGGCGCTGCCATGCGGACAGTGCCACGACATGTGTGATGGGGAGGTCCTGGTCCCCTTTCTTTTGCACGTTCCTGAGTGTTGTTTTCCTCGCTTGCCATTGGCACGTGGAGGCACAGTCTTGCTGTGGTGATCTGCAGCGCTCACATACCGAGGTGTGATCGTCGCCTGTGCGGGGGAACAAAAAACAAAAAATGTTGGCGGCATACGCCGGCGCCCACTGAGGCCGCACGTTGCGCTCCCTAACAGGCTCGAGACCTGTGAGGGGCGTGCCGAGTCGGGGGCGTGTGCGACGCATGGCGGTGCCAACTGAGGCCGTGGGCGGAGTTCCCCGAGGGGCGCGACGCGTGCGAGGGGCGTGCCGAAGTGGGGGCGTGAGCGCCATGCGCCGGCGCCCGCGGATGAGGAGGGGGAGGAGGAGGAGGAGGAGGAGGAGGAGGATGAGGAGGAGGAGGAGGAGGGGGAGGAGGAGGAGGAGGAGGAGGAGGAGGAGGAGGAGGGGGAGGAGGAGGAGGAGGAGATGGAGCTCCCCAAGGGGCACGACACGCGTGACAGGTGTGCCGAAATGGTAGCCTGTTTGAAAGGCGTCGGCGCCCAACGGAGACCGCAGGTGCAGCTACTTCTGGGGCCACGAGGAGTGCGAGAGGTGTGCCCGCATTCGCACGCGGAGGAGGAGAAGGAGGAGGAGATGCAGGAGATGGAGGGGTAGGAGGGGGAGGGGGAGATGGAGATGGAGGAGGAGGAGGAGGAGGAGGAGGAGATGGAAGAGGAGGAGAAGGAGGAGGAGGAAGTGGAGAAGAAGGAGGAGACGCCCGAAGCGAGGGCCCGACTCACACAGGAGGGTTGGGAGACCTCTCCCCTCTTCCTACCTTTGCTCCCTCCTTCTCCCCTCCTCCTACCTTTGCTCCCACACTCCTCCTTCTCCCACCCTCTTGCTCCTACACGTCTCTCTTCTAGGTCATTACACATTTCCTGTCGATCCTACTCCTCCTCCTCATACCTTTTTGTTTTTCTCTTCTTCCGCCTCAGTCTCCTACCGCTCATCCTCCTCCCAACTCTCCTACGCCCATCCTCATGTTCCATCGTGTATTCCTCCCCCTGCCTCATCCGTCCCATGCCACTCCAGCATCGTCCGTGTTCCCCTCTCTTCCCCATCCATCCTGCCCTCTCGTTTCCCCTTGCACTCCCACCTTCTACTCCCGACTTCCCCTCTTCCTCCTTCTCACCGTCTAATTTCCTCAATCTCTCTGATAATTTCCCAGCCTCGTCATCCAACTGATTGCCTCGGTATGCAGCTTGACGGCAAACCGAGGAGGACAAGGTGGTTGACAGGTCCCACAAGCACGTGCCAGCCTGGTGCGACACGTACCTGAAGGACCTTGACCGCCAGATGGGCGTGGACCCAGACACAATATGGGGCGGCAGGCTCCTCCTCCTCCTCCTTTTCCTCCTGCTCCTCCTTCTCCTCCTCCTTCTCCTCGTCCTGATCTCTGATTCCTGATGGCGTGGGAGATCGTCGAACGCGGCCCCCCCCCCCAGGGCTGGTTGGCCGTGGGGAGCTGATCGAACTAGGAGCCAGGCGCCTCCTAGGGCGTTCGCTCCAGGAGTCGCCGGCTGGAGGCCGACGGCAAAGGGCAAAGGACAGCCAGCTGTCGCGACGGGAACCCTCACTTGCAAGCCAGCGGAAGGTTCCCAGAACGTTGCTCTGGGGGCCTGCCGGGGGGGTCACCGAGCAAGGGGGAAGGTTTGAGCCTTCCGCGGCGGCGGCTCTCCCCGTGGAGTTGGGCTGTGCGGCATCCTCCTCCACCTGTCCGCCAGATCTCAAAGATCCCCGATGTGTCCAAGTCCGATTTTGTCCCTGGCCGATGTTGTCCCAGATCTAGCTTCGCGCCTGAATCCTTCAAAAGACTGGGCCACCAAGTGCGACCCAGAGATTTGTTTTCAGCGCTTAGCTTTTTTTGTGGCCATTTAGGCTGGGCGTCCGTATGGGTATCCAGCGCGTGGCGTCTGGATGTTCCACATGTGAGTCCGGCCATCCTTCCCCGCTCCTGCCTCCTCCTCACCATCTTCGCTTGCCCTCCTGGACTCGACAGGGTGCCCAAGTGTGACCTGGAGGTGGTCTTCAGCGACGAGCTGTACAGGCAGGCCAACAAGAGCAGGCCGAAGCGCGCCAGGGGGTCCTCCGGCGACTGGCGGCAAGACCGCCTCGCACGTTCGGAGACTCATTCTGATCGTCGTCGTCGTCCTCTTCCTCCTCCTCCTCCTCGCCCTCCTTCTCCTCCTCTTCCTTACCTTCCCCTGCTCCTCATCGTCGTACTCTTCCCCCTCACGTTCCTAGTCATCTCCTCCTTCTCATCCTCTTCATCCTCCCCGTTCTTGCTTTTCCAGCTGCCGCTCTTTCCTCCCCGTGCTCCTTCTCCTTCTCGCCTGCTCCGTCTCATCCTCGCCCCACCCGTCCGCTCTTGACGAGCATCGGGCCCTGCAGCGAAGGAGATCAGCGACTACAAGCAGCGGATGGGCCACGTCCGGAGCTGGGAGGACAGTGCCGACCCTGCCGCCGAGTAGCCTTGCGCAGGCGGAGCTCGAGAGCGCCTGCCTGGCGGCGGAGGGACCACGCTGCCAGCGCCTGCCTCTCCAGGAGGGTTCGCCCCAAGACCTCCCCGCGGAGTACGACGGACCGCAGCAGGAAGGGTCGAAGGGTACGGAGCAGTGGTGGCACGGCCTGCAGCTGCCGCGGGGCGGGGCCCATTCGCGGCGCGGCCGCCCGGCCGCTGATCGTGGTGCCCGCCCCCCCCAGCCGCTCTTCGCAGTCCTCTCCCTCCTCGCCCTGATGTTCCAACCCACTTTAGCCTTGATCGCCAGACAGAATTTCGAGCACCAAGAAAGTACAACAACTGGAGGGTTTTCACGTGTCGGGCCCTGGGAGGCGATGCTCGTTCGACACTGCCTCGACGCTTTCCTGGGCGCTCGAAGTCTTTGTTTGATGTGGCTCGTAAGTCCTGATGTACGAGTGGGGGCAACACAACTCTTGCTCCCTGCTAGCCCCGTCCTCTCCCAGACCTCGTCGCGCTTCAGGAGGGGAAACACACACACACAGAGAGACACACTGAATCGAGGACTCCCAGGGATATATGGGGAAAAATATGGGAAGTGGGGGGGGAAGACCGAAACCCAGAAGATATGTGAGAAAATATCGGGAATATTGGGATGTGTCAAGTGTGTGTGTGTGTGTGTGTGTGTGTGTCTGTGTGTGTGTGTGCGTGTGTGCGTGTGTGCGTGTGTGCGTGCGTGCGTGCGTGCGTGCGTGCGTGCGTGCGTGCGTGCGTGCGTGCGTGCGTGCGTGCGTGCGTGCGTGCGTGCGTGCGTGCGTGCGTGCGTGCGTGCGTGCGTGCGTGCGTGCGTGCGTGCGTGCGTGCGTGCGTGCGTGCGTGTGTGTGTGTGTGTATGTGTGCGTGTGCGTGTGCGTGTGCGTGTGTGTGTGTGTGTGTTTGTTGACGTGTTCTTGGGCCCCTCTGGCGTTGTGAGCGCAGCCCGGTCGGGGTGCGTCCCTGCAGGCCGCGCTTCGCCGGGAGCGCCCCCCGCAGATCGCGCGGCACGGCCGCTGGAGGCCCGAGGTCTGACCTCGACACCGAGCCCTAAGTTTAAGTCGGGCACGTCCCTCTACGGGAGAAGTATTCAAAACCAGCAAATAAAAGTCAGGGGACGATCTTTTGACTATTTCTGGGATTGTTGGAGCATTGTCTGATCATTGATTTTTTTGTTCTTCCCCACAATCCCCCTATAGGGGGGCAGGCCCGACCTAACCCTAAGTCGGGCCTGTCCCTCTACAGATGGAATGCTCAAAGATTCGTTCGGCGAGCTCGGCGCCTCGGCGGGCGTGCGGCCGCGCGCCCTCGCGGAGGCACCTCGTCGACTGCGGGGCCCCCGACGGGCTCGCATCACACGGCCCTCGCGCCTCTGAGTCAGACAGAGAGACACAGAGACGCAGAGCGACGGAGCAACAGAGAGAGAGAGAGAGACAAACAGAGAGAGAGAGAGAGGCAAATGTATAATCACAAGATGTTCTGGATCGTTAGGTCCCCAGTGTGCTTCGAACCCCATCCTCTCCAATCCTGCTCGTCCATCCGTGCTGAGCAGTTCCAGCCCCACATCCACCATCATCTCCATGACCTCATCCTCGTAGGCCCCCCACCTTTTGACTGACCGAACTCATCTCCCTCCCCGTTCTGCCCCTCCACCTCCTGCTCCGCCCTCGCACCTCATCATCACCTTCGTCCCCCCCGCCTCATCATTTCTCATCTTCGTGCAGCTCCCGCACTCGTCCACCTCGCCTTCCTCGTCTCGGAGGAGGGCAGGTCGAGACAACGGCGGCACGCCCGCCTGGCCCACATCCGTTCCGAATTGGCCCCTGGACCTCTCACGGGGTCCATCCTGACCCGATTTTCGAGTTGAATCCAGCCATGGCGACGAGAAGCCTCCACGAAGCTGAGCAAGGCCGAGCAACCCCGCAGAAGGCCGCCGTTGTCTCGACTCGCCGACCGGCCCTCCCCTTCTGTTGCCCCCCTCGCACTCAAGGACCACATCCCAGAAACCATTTCGAGCACCCAGACATGTATCGAAACAGTGTCGATCGAGTCTGGCCTCCCAGGGCACGACGCGCCAAAACCCTCCAGCCTCGGTACCTCTTCTCGATGCTCGACAAATTCTCACTGGCGATCAGCGCTGAAGCAGCCTGGAACATCAGAACCCTCCCCGCGACCTGCACCCTCCGCACCCCTCCCCTGCCCCGCTCCCCCCGCGCCCTCCTCCCGGAGCCCGCTGCGCCTCCCGCCCCTTGGGCGTTGCGTAATGGGGGGGTCATAAATGGGGGGGTGTCGCGGGTGGTCCGAAAAGGTACCCAAACGGTGCCTGAACGAGCCCCCTGGGGCTCCAGAGGGGCCCGAAAGGGGCACGAAAGGGGACCTTTTCTGACCCCCCCATTTGTGACCCCCCCATTAAGCCACGCCCAACGCCCCCCCGGGGCCTGTGCCAGGGCGGGGCCCTCGCCTCGCCTCTTTTGCCAATTCGTTCCGCGCGAACTCGGCGCCTCGGCCGGCGTGCGCGGCCCGCGCGCCTCCCCGGGGAGGCACCTCGTCGACCGCGCGCGGCCCCCGACCGGCTCGCCTCGCGCGGCCCTCGCGCGGCCCTCGCCTCTCGGAGAGCAGGGAGCGATTCGCGAGGGGAGCGGGTCCGCGAGGGCCCTCGCCGCTCCTGGGCTGCAGTCGGGCGTGTCCCTCCCCTACAGGAGGAATATCCAAACATGGTCAAAAAGTGGAGTCTGGGGTGGATTTTTGGAGTTTCTTTTGGGGGGGGAATAATCATTTTTGAGCATTCGTGGATTATGTTTTTTGTAGTTGTTCGCCCACAACCTGCCTGTAGGGGGGCCTGCCCGACCCAAAGCTGGCCCTGGGGGAAAGGCCCGGGGGTCCAGGACCCGTGTCCCTCAGGACCCAAGAGGGCTTCTCGCGAATCTCGCTCCGCGTATGTCCCACCTCCTCCGTCTCCACTGTCATTCCCTCCTCCTCCTCCTCCTCCTCCTGCTCCTCCTCCTCCTCCTCCTCCTCTTCCTCCTCCTCGTCCTCCTCGTCCCCCTCCTCTCCCGTACCTTCACATCCTGGCCCTCAGGGGGGGAGGATCGATGAGGCAAGCAAAGGGCCGCGCCCTGACGGCGCATCGGCCGGAGATGCGCACATGCATGCATGAAGAATGGGAGAAGCACAGGCAAACTTTGCGCCAATGACGCGCGAGAGGGAGCAGCAACACTCCGTCTCAAGACGGAGGAGGGGAGGCGGGGGAGGGGAGGGGGAGGAGGAAGGCGAAGGGGCAGGGCGAGGAAGCTCATCGCAGTCACACTTAGTCTTTTTCGACAGCTGCATCCCATTCCCTGGTCGAGGAATTCAATCAATTCTGCATGCGGTCGGGATCGTCTCCTGCGACACTCAGCGCGCGGGCGTGCACGGAACTGGTCCATTGCAAGCGCGGTCTGCTTCGGTTTTTCAGGGACCGCCACTCCCGCGGCATTAGTGAGTTCGCTTGGCCTGGCTGGAAAACCATTGGTTTTGGCAGCGACTGCGAGGGTGCCCGTGCAAGTTTACCATGGTATGTACTCTGCCGGTCCAATAATACAACCGACAATGGAAGTGAGTGGGCTTCAAGCAGGACGCGCGCATTATTGATGAGAGATCAGACCGTAGTTGGTCTTCCGTTCCTCCGGTCTTGAGTCGATGTGAAATGATGTTGGCCAACATTTGATAGCCCACCGCCAGCACAGATATGGGCTTATAGTTGCATGGTTCGGATTTGCAACTTTTTTGAACATTGATGCAACTGAAGTTTCTCGCCAATGCGTTGGTATGTCTTTCTGCTGCCAGCAATCCTCGGAGAGCCCTCGTATTATCTCTAGAGTCGCTCTGCTCCTTCATAGCGCGTGCCATAGATCGGGGGGTACTCCATCATTTCGAGCCGATTTCTACACTTTCCAATGATTGACTGCTCGTCGAACTTCTTCCAGCTTGATGCTACCAACATCGATGGGTAGGAAGCCGCTGTCCTCCGCTGAATTGGGAAGCTGTTCTGCCTTGTGGCATCATTTCCATTTCCCTTTTTCCGAATAATTTGCCATCGTGTGGGCTCGCACCTCTGCGTCAACTAGATTGCCCTGGGTATCCCGTAACACCCAGATTCCATCGGCCGCCCTTTCCGGAGTGATTGAATAGCTTGCCATCCGTATTGTGTTGCTTTTTTCCAACCAATGTTTCCTGTCGGCACGTCCCGCAAGTTGCGTCTGGTTGTTTAGGTGTTGCATGACTTGTGCCTCCACCCTGGAATTTCTGCAGCGGGTTTGCTCTTCTATAAGATGCAGCGTTCTCGTTGAAATATATGGCCGAAGCTTCTGCGCGGAGATGATAGGCAGAACATGATGTGCAGATTTCAGCATGCATGTAGCTATGGATTCTGCTCTGGACTCCAGATCTGTACAAGGAAAGTCCCAATTACGAACCGATCTGGTCCAATTGCTCGAACCGACCTGGTTGTACTGGTTCTATCGAATGGGTGCCCAGATCGCGGTAAATATCTTCAGTTTCAAATCCGACGTCGAAAGATGTTTTCGCAACGCTCGCTTCGGTCCAGGGCACCACACAAAGCCAATTGTACTTCTCGGTTTGACGTTGGCTCCCACTTCCTTGCAGGATTCTCGAACAGATCGGGTCCAATAGTTTCTCCTTCTCCAGAATGTCGTTGCAGAAGCCTCGCGCTGAAAGCCCCCAGCAGGACGGTTGGTCCATGAGATTTGCATCTGGCGGCGAATACCCATCGATCGGTGAAACAATCGTGGCGGATATCCGAAGGGTGGTCGTTAGTCCAAGCGTATACAGTAATCAGGGTCAGACTTCACCAGAAACCCAGGACCGAATGTTGGCCATTCTGTTGTCTTGTTTAGATACCCTTTGACAGCGTGCCGCATCCAAGGTGCCACTATACCGAATCCGATTCCTGCATATTCTCTGTTGTCGTGCTCCATCCCAGAAAGAATGAAGAGGTATCCCTCGTATTCGAAAGTGTGTGAACAGCCGCAATGTGTTTCTTGAAGACACAGCACGCCACTATGTAATTCTTACATGTGCTTAGTTGACTCGTACGACGTGTGTGTGGCTTCTCCAGGCTGATGCCTTCGACACACCAGGAGGCAACTCGTCCACACAGGATTGGCGAACATGGGAATGTTACCCATTTGCCCGTACTAGTCGCACTTGTAGAGCAGATGCGCCGTCTTATTTTTGAGTGGTTGCCCTTGTTTCCCTTGCCGCTTCAATTCGCACGCTGGAAGGCCCCATTGACACGATCGGTTCGGTCAGCTATTTCTGGGCTGAGTGCAAGATGACCCCAGGAAGCCCATGCTCCACACCACGTATCCTGGAGAGCGGACCCGGCCACAAGTACATAGAACATATGTTTTTTAGCCATTTGGAGTTTCTCTTCAAGAGTATCCACACGTACCTCGCTTTTGGAATAACCCCATTCCAAGAATGTCTTACGCAAGCCGAGCGATAAGCTCTCAGGAATTTGTTTCCAATAACTGATCTTGACGCGACCAAATCATGTTTCTTTGATGTTTGAATTGAGTTTTCCACAGAATTGTGACACATGAGTCCCGGTCATTGGCCGTGTCTAATTTTGCGAAGTGTAGTTTTTGATGCACGTATGTTTAGGCTTTGGAGTTCCGAGGCGAAGTGCTTGTCCATTGACCCATGCAGACGCGTCTCGTAAGGTGTCGAAGTTCACCGATCCACATATGAAAGTATTGCACTCATACTGAATGTTCGTGGTGAGCTCCGCCATTTTGCGCTTAATCTCATTGAGTTCCGCCTCAGCTGTGGAAACCAAACTGCTTGCGGAACCGGTCGCAGAATGAACATCCGGACGGAGTGGAAGAAATTTGAAAACGGCAGCTTGGCCGAGATTTTACCGATTGCAGTCTTCAAAGGCTCCACCGCTTTCCGCATGTCTTGATGCGACACGCCGTGCTGTTTGATAGCACGGATACTGTTCTGGATTGGTTGAAGTTGGTCTCGCACGATGTCATTGCCCAACAGTTAAGCCATCCATGTCGTTTGCACGATTGTGAACTGGCAGTGTTGGCAAGGTCGTCGGCGAGTAGTTGTTGACGTGCGGCTTGATGATCGTCCAGGCCGTCCATCTCCTGTAGTGGGCTGCAGATGCGATGTTGCTTTGCTCCCCACCCGCAGGGGGCTTCCGCACGTCCTTGACGGGGGTGCCGTCCCTGCGAGTTTGGCTTGTCGCAGGCGGATGCGAAGTAGCATGTGCCATTGTTCCATCCAAATTGAGGGGCACTCGAGAAGCCATGATGTATGCAAGATCTTCGGCGAGAGCGCAAACACTGCGCTCCTGTAAGGGAAAAGGGAATGTAAGAGCAGCGGGGATGTAAGACAGAGCAGGATCGATGAGGGAGGAGGAAGAGGAAAATGGTGAAGGGAGGAAGAGAAGAAATAGGAGGAGGAGGAGGAGGAGGAGGAGGAGGAGGGGGGGGGAGGAAGGGGGAGGCTGGGGGAGGAGATGGAGTCGACGTTGCGAGCGGATTCCGCTAGCCCGAGCCACCACCCTTCTCCTCTCCTCTCTATCCGCCTCCCTATCTCCATTCCCCTCCCCGCCTTCCCCTGCCCTCCGAATGCATGATCCATTCACCACCCTCCTTGCCATCCCCATTCCCCTGTTTCCACTTTTCCCACTCGTTCCCCCTCGCATCGCGTCGTCGAGTGAGGAGGGACAGGAAAAACAGTAGTAATGATAATAGTAGTAATACGGGGAATTGTAATATGGATCGTGAATCATAGTACTACGGATAATAGAAATGATGAGCTAGTGCCACGCAGACATGCACCAGCAGCTCTTGCCGTTAATATGGCCAGGCCGCCTCTCGGGAGCGCTTGGGCAGGCGTGGGAGGGGTGAAAGAAAGCTTGGAACAAGTTCAGGCGCAAGCGCGTTTCGTTTCGGATTGGATTCGAGAAGTGCTCTATTTTGGTTGAGTGTTGGTGTCGTTCCAAGAAGACCCCCGAGAGCCCCACACAGCCCAAATAGAACCCGAAGAAGACCCCGCAGGTCTCACATTGCTGCACCATGAAGGCCCAAAATTGCTCACAAAAGAGATTCTCAGAGGCGTCGAGAGTCATTGGGACCCCTGAGAAGGACCGAGAGAGCCCAATGAGCCCTAAACGGCCCAAGGCAGCCCAACAACCCCCAAGAGGATCCCAAGAGGCCCGCGAGGGTGCCCCAAAGTATCTAGACAGCCTATCTCCGATACGTTCGTGTCGTGTCAACGCGGCGACGACCCCATCGCAGGCGTTCAATATTGAATGTTGCCAGTGGTCCAGAATCGGCCGACGTACTTCAAGGCTGAACGATCCACGCAATGCCAGAAACCAAAGGACAAGTCGTCACGACACGAACCTCCGACGTCGCGATCTGCTTCAACACGTGCACCGCCAGAGGTCCGGATCCCTTCCCCAGGACTGGCGTCTCGTCCCGAGCCGTTCTGCCCTGGGGCCCTGCGAGGGCCCCCTGAGACAGAAAATCGGCAAACATTTGCCGTCGCGATGTCTCGGACCGGAGGAGGAGGAGGAGGAGGAGGAGGAAGAGGAGGAGGGAGGAGGAGGAGGGAGGAGGAGGAGGCGGAGGCGCACGGGCGGCCGCACGCGCAGGAGGAGGAGGAGGGACGAGGAGGAGGAGGAGGCGCACGGCCGGCGGCTTCTCCCCCCGCGGCCGGCCGCCCGTCCGCCGCGGGGCCCCTGGACCTCAAGCAGTTGCGGAGCGTCCCGGCTCGCCTATAGCCCCACCAGGCAATGTTCTAAGAACCTTTTGTGGTATGCACGAAAGGTTCTTAGAACATTTCTGGCTGGGACCGTCTGGTTTTAACATAACACATCGGGTTCACGGTCTAAGAACATTGATTCCGTTCTTAGAACACTTTTGGGCTCTAGGAACATTTCGTGGTAGGACTATAGGAATGCCGGGACGGTCGGTCCCTGCTCAACCGGACGGGTTACTCGCTGGCAGTTGGAAGCGTGCGGTCGGGCCGATGTATGAGATCGAGGTCTCTTCGGGGAGGGTGGCTTCATGTTCGTCGTGCTTGCCGGAGGTTGTTTTGCATCCTGGTGGAGAGCACCCTCGAAGGTTCTTCAGTTTGGCCGGCGGAGGGCCTCACCTTTTTGAAGGATGTGTTTCTGTCCCAGGCCCGACTGCATGCGACGCTTCTGAGGGGCAACGCCGGGGAGGTGCATCTTCGAGGCACGAGGTGGGTCGGCGTGTTCTTCGGCTCGCGGTGATGTTCGGCCTGGGGAGGCGTTTCGGCAGCTGCTCTTCGCCGAGGGTCCGAAAACCAGATCCGCCAGGGGGGCATCGTTCGGGGAGGATGGACTCAGGGGGGGACTGCGTCGACCCCCCGTCGCCCACCATGATCGGGTGAGCGTAAGATCCGGGTTTGCCGGGACTCGGGTTCGCCATCGTTTTTTGACGACCGCGCCACGGATTTTGACGAGGAGGAGTTTCGTGGGATGTCTGCAGCGGGAGGCCTCGTCAAAATGCAGGCTCGGCCTCGTCATTTTTTTGACGACCTCGTCGGGGATTTCCGAGTCCCCCGTACCCGGGTCTTACGCCTCCCCGACATGACCAACAGGGGGCCCGAAAGCCCACACCGCTCAGGAACGTGGGGTCTTGCTATCGGGGGCCTATCACCGATCCGTCGGCGACGTATCGAGGGTTCACGCTCAAGAGCTCTCCCCCTAAGCTGGCCCCCTCATGCAGTCGGACCGAGGTATGAAATCGAGGTCGCTTTGGGGAGGGTGCCATCATGTTCTTTGTGCTTGTTGGAAGATGTTTTGCATCCTGGCAGAGGTACCCTCGAGTGATCCTATTGATTGGGGTGTTTTGGCCAACAGTGGGGCTCATGTTCTTGGAAGGGGTTCTTGGAAGATGTTCCTCGCTGCCGACTCCACAAGTCGTTTGGGTTCAGGGCTTCTGGAACTGACCACGTGTATCTGGATGTGTAAATCCTGACCTCGTTTAGGCGCAATGTATGTGCCTTTTATCCGTCGGGGCGGCCTGAAGCCCGGTCTATCTTGAACGCTTCTCTATGTCATGTGTCTGCTGGTTCCCAGATGACTTGTAGTTTGTAGCCGACGTTGCTTCATCACATGCCCCGACCGTCTTCTGATGGATTCGAACATTCGCGACTTGGTGAATCAGATGTTCCTGGAAGATCATGCTTAGGCCCATGCCAACAAATGTCGCATGCTCGCAGGAACGGGATTTCATGTCTCGTCCTCCCCCTCCATTTGTCCTCATCTTCCGTCTGCTCCTTCCCATCCTCCTCCGCCTCCTCCTCCTCCGACTCCGCCTCTGTTACCCATCATTCCTTTAATACTGCTGCTCCAGTCTCCCCGTCCTCTTTCCCACGCTTTCCAGATCTTCCTTTTTCCTCTCCTCGTGCATGCCATCCCTCCTTATCTATCCATCCGTATCCTCGTGTATCCCCGTCCTGCTCGCCACCTGCTCCGTGCCTCCTCCCCCTTCGGGCTGATCCGCCTCATCCCTGCTCGAGGGCTTCATCGCAGACATGCGGATGTCCAAGGGCCGAGAGGAGTCGCAGATTGTCATCAGACTCAGGAGCGGAGGGAGGGAGGGGGGGGGGGGGGGGAGAGCAGGGGGTAAAAGGGCAGGAGCGGGCGGGCGGTGAGGCAGGACGCTGGAAGCGGGGAGGAGAGGGAGGGGGGAGGGGAAGAGGTACTCAGGGGAGGAGGGGCCGAGAGAAGGAGGAGCTTAAGGGGAGGAGGGGACAAGAGGAGGGACACACGCTGAGGTACTAAGGGGAGGTGGGAGAGAGGTGCTGAGGTGAGGAGACGAGAGGTAATATGGGAAGGAGGGGGCTCGACAAGGATAGAAGCAGCAGAAGACGAGAAGAACTGCGGGAGCAGCAACCAAGAAAGATGTTTGACGGCCGATGCTCGCTCTGTTGGTGAAGGCCGTGCATGCTCGAAGGAAGCTGGCCGTCGCTTCATTTGCGTAACAGGTAAACGTAAATGATGAGCACACGTGCTGGGGAGGAGCAGGAGGACGTTAAAGGAGGGGGAGCAAGACCGTGGAAGGGGGAGGACGACCACGACGAGGTCAAGGACCAGGAGGTGGAGGGGGGCAGGAGTGGGAGTGGGAGCTGCATGGGAGTGGTGATAAGGAGAAGGGGGAGTGGGGATGAGGAGGAGGAGGAGGAGGAGGAGGAGGAGGAGGAGGAGGAGGAGGAGGAAGAGGAGGAGGAGGAGGAGGAGGAAGAGGAGGAGGAGGCAAGGAGGAGGCAAGGAGGACGCGGTAAGGGCGCACTACGATGTGAACCCTCAGCTGCGACGGCAGGTTCATTGCTGTGCCATGGGGCGTGGTTGAGAATCAGGCGCAGCGGCGATTCGGCTTGTTGGGTCCACGCTTAGTCGCAGCGCCGCGCTTCACTCTCCCCTTCCCTTCCCTTCCACGGGGCTCGGACGAGGGCAAATCCGTTCCAGAGCGTTCCGGAACGCTCCCAGAGTCTCAGGGCGAACCTGAACGCCCTGAAAAGGCCGCGGCGCCCGAGGCATCCTCCAGAGCCGCCAGATCTCAGAGACTCCCGATTTATCCTCACCCGATTTTGCCCTCGCCCTGGCTTCGTCTTACCTCTCGCACCCCCGCCTCTGCCCACATCTCGGCAGGCCCCCTCACGCGAAGCGTGCGAGGGGTGCGCCGATCCAGGGGCGGAGGTACGCCGTGCGAGCCCCGCCATTGGGGCCCCAGGTCTGAGCTTCGTGTAGGGGGCCTCGGAGCGCGTGAGGGGTGTGCCGAGTCGAGGTTCGGCCCACCTTCCCCAGGCCTCGTCCGCCTTCCCGAGGCCTCCGGCGCTGTGTTTTTTTTTTTTATTGCGGCGAGGAGCCCCAGAGGAGGTCTGGGCCCTTTTTTTCCCCGGGGCGGGCTCCCGATGTGCATCGCGTTTGTTCTCGACGGCCCCAGGGCGCGGCGAAAGCCTCTCAGAGGCACAGCAGGAAAACATACACACGGACACACATGTTCCTTCGGTCGTCTTCTTCGCATCGCGGGGAGGTATGGGCTCGCGCCTCGATCCCCCATCCCCCTCAGCCGACCCTCCCGCCCCGATTCGCGGCGTCGTCGTCGCCTTCCCTCCTCCTCCTCCTCATCCTCCTCCTCCTCCACCTCCTCCTCCTCCTCCGCGAGCTTTCGCGCTCATGAATCCGCAGGGGTCCAAAGTGTGTCCCAGGCTCTGGCCCAACAGCAGTGCTCTTGTAGGGCCGTCCTCCTGGTTGTATGTCGGCGCCTCGCCTCGCCTCGCCTCGACCCCCTCCCCCCCCGCCGACCCTCCCGCCCCGATCCTCGATCCTCGACTGGGCAGGGGCTGCTGGCCCGACGACGCCATGTCGAGGCGCTGGCGCATCGACAAGGGCGCGAACAGTACGCTGTACGAGCGCCAGCTGCAG